TTATAAAATAGTAATTAACTATAAATTTAAAAATTATAATCAAATAATAAAGTGATTGCACTTTAAATAATTAGTCAATAAATTTTTTGACTAATTAATACAAAAATACATTTATTTATTTTTAATATAAATATACTTAAAAAAAATTTCTATACATATTTACATTTCATAGTTATTGACATCAATTGCACTTTTAAAAATAAAATAAAAAAAAAGATTATTATTTGAATATTAAATATTTTATAATCACTTATGTTATTATAATTTTATAAATATTTTTTATTTTTAGTCAGTTTTAATCTACTCATAACTTTATATTTTCATTTAAATATATATTTATATACAGTATATATCTAAAAACAAGTTTAACAACATTTTTTATTTAAAATAAACTACAAAAAATTATATTTTTTTATTGGGGATAATTTTTTCCCATAGGATATAAGTTATATATATATAAGTTTATAAATTTACATTTAATTATAAATATTTATATTATAAATTACTAACTGTTTTAGTAGTCAATATGAGTTTAATCAGATATTAAAATATATTGTAATTTTAAAAATATTTAATATACTTAAATAAAATTACTAAAAATTTATTTATAGAAACAAATTTAAAAACAAAAAATAATTTATATTGTAATATTTTTTTAATATTTTTGTTTGAAAAATTACAATCATATGTAAAATAATAATAATAAACTTTATATCATAATATCATTTTAGTAGTCATAATTATATTTATTATTTATTAATAATTTTAAAATATATATACACAATAATATTTGAAATTTTTTTTACATATTTTTTTAATTTATAGACAAACAAACAAAAAATTAAACACAAAGAGTAGTTAAAATTTATTATTTTAATTAATAAAAATAAAATTATAATATTATTATTATTAATAAAATTATTGAGATTTAGATTTTCTAACATATGATTGTCGATAAAATGACCAAAACATGTAGAAAAACAATGGGGGCTAAAAAAATGAAATAAATAATAAAAAAATAAATAACAAACAAACAAATAACTTAAATATACAGTAATATTGAGATAATAATTAAAAAATAAATAGAAATATTATTATTATTACTTTTGACTATGAATTATCAACAACAACAAAATTATTAATTAAATAAATATAATTTTGAAATAATATATATATATATTATATTTACAGTACATATAATTTATATCATCATTAATATACCGATAATATTGATATATATATATATTATGTCACCAATAATATACCGATTCTATTGATATATACAGTATATCATCAATAATATACCGATACTATTGATATTGAAATACCCCCACCGGTAATAAAAATATCAATACATACGGGTGTATATATATATATATATATAATACTTGTGTGATTACCTGACAGAGTCCCAGATAGGGAAAGATCTTCGGATAACCTCTTTGGTAGACAAAGAAGAATATACTATAGATGGAGAATATGATAAACTGTATCAATTGAATCTGTGTTATGTATCGTTTCCACCACAAGTACTTCTGGACGGACGGTCCCAATGCCGACAGTGCGTAATAGGTGTACATTACTGGTGTGGGAGGGGGTTAAGGGATGGGATGGGAGGCATAGGAATAGGGAGGCAAACAAACAATAATTTAATAGAGATATCAATTTTTAAAAAAAAGTATTAATTAATTAATTTAATATATTATTTATTAAAATTATAATAATTTATAATATGATAAAAAATGACAAATTTATAAATATATTAAAAAAGTTTTATAATATTGAAATATTTACAGATATAGTGTCGACAGCTGACGGCACAGGTATGTAACATAAGTTTTTATTTTGTGGTTTAAATTTTTTTTTAAAAAAAAACTTTTGTTTTATTTGTTATTTTAGGCTAAAAAATTTATAAATTATTTTTTGATATATCTATTAAAATTGTGTTTTTTTTTGTTCAATAGATAATAAAAAAAATAAGTTTTTAAATTTTATTGTTTATTTTTATTTCATTGTAAATCATTAGTTATTTATTTTTATTTTTTTTTGTTGTAACTATTATATAGTATTTTTAAATGATACTATAATTGGTGGGTATTATAGTATAAATCAAGTAAACATATTGTTATAGATAATTGTTAATAAAAACTATTGTAACTATTATTTTGATGGCAATGAACTTAAAACCGATTAAGATCTCTCTCTCTCTCTCTCTCTCTCTCTCTCTCTCTCTCTCTCTCTCTCTCTCTCTCTCTCTCTCTCTCTCTCTCTCTCTCTCTCTCTCTCTCTCTCTCTCTCTCTCTCTCTCTCTCTCTGGAAAATAATAGATAATAATAATAAATATAAAAATAAAATGTCAAACGTATTGTGCAATTCACGTAAAATTGTGTTAAATTTATATATATATATACTGGTAATTGTGTGATAAAATTAGCCGACAATATATATAAATTTATATATAAGTATACTTAAACTTTATTTTTATAGTAATTATTTTTAAAAATAGTAAATCCGGTTTTGTTAGGGAGGAAAAAAATGATGATTGACTTAAATACATTACATTAATAATTACTAGTATTTTATTTAAATAAAATGATTTTTTTTTTAAATACAAATCCTTATTAAATACTAATATTAATAATAATCTGTGACTTCAATAAAAAAAATATTAAAACTACAAATTTTAATCTTAAAGATAACCAAAAATTAAATATATGAATATTATTTAAATTATTATTTTAGTTTATTATTGAATATTATTTATACTGTTATATATATATATTAAATATACTGTACATTATATATATATATATATACTATATATCATATTATTGTATGAATAATATCAAACAAACAAAAAACTTTTCTTTCAAATAAAATATTTTTTAATTAATTATTAATGAAATAAAAACAAATAAAAATATTTTCAATATTAATAACTACTACTACTTTATTTTATTATTAAATGCTTTTGTTTTGTGTGTGTGTGTGTATCACATGTTTTTAATTTATGACTTTTATTAATATAATATTTATTATACAAAAATCATATTATTTTTCATACAATTTTTTTAATTATATTAACTTTTATAATATAATTTTTTTTTTAAAAAATCAATATAAAAAGCACACAAAAATTGTGTCATAAAATCTATATAATAAATACATGTATTATTTTTATTTTTTTGATTTTATAAATGTTTTTTTTCACTAAATCAATTTGAATCACGCAATCATTTAACATTTATTATTATTATTATTATTATTATTATTATTATTATTATTATTATTATTATTTTAAATAATATAATATATAACTTATATATATAAATTAAATTTAATAATTGTTTGCTATATGTTTCTCTTAATTTATATAATACTTGTTGTAAAAGTTGGGATTTTTTTTAACCACATTTACATTAGACATCAGTTATTTTGTATAATAATAATGTAGTTTTTTTACATTATTTTTTTTAACTATATATATTTTAATTAATTGTAAATATCATATTTCATACAATTATTATTATTATTACTATTTAGTACTTTATATAATAAACACATGAATTTATAATAATAATAATAATGTTAAACATTAAAAATAAAATGTTTGACACAAATTATTAGATGATTTTATTTTTTCAAAATAATAATAAATTAATAATAAACATATATGACATTAATTTTGCATTAAATTGAAATAATTATATTTTTTAAAAAATAAATAAATAAAAATTAGTATTTAAATGAGTGATAGAGTTAAATATTTACCCAAATTAATAAATAAATAAAATAAAATATATATATATACATACACTACAACAATAAATATGTATTTTAATAATTAATAATAATTACTAAAAACTATATATAAATATTTGTATTGTAAAAACTCGCAAACTATTAAAATTTATTTTTTAAAAATAAACAAATAAAATAAAAATAAAAATAAACAAGGTTAAATTAACCAATCAAACAATCAAATCCACTAACCTATATGAACCAATGTGTTCAACAATGGGAACAGGGTGGCCGGTCCGCCAAACGGCGATACCTTAATTGATAGATGGGCGAGCACTGGTACTATACTATGATGATAGACATGCAGATTGCTTATCTGGTTATGTTTTTTGCGCAAAACAAAAAATACTGTCTCAATCAGATCGACCAGTTTCGATAGGAAAAACAAATAGGCTAACGATATAATTTTCATAGTCTGGGGACTGGTATCACGGGAGTCGGGCCTTTCAAACTCGTACAGCCGTAGGTCGCGACCAAAATTATGTATCCAAACAATCTGATAGAAAAACCAGGCGTTTACCCAAATCATCGATAAATTATAGATAAGCATCAATCGGCGCAAACCGAATGGCCGGACGTTTTTCATTAGTTTAGGTCCCAGATCTTTGACAAAATAGATATAGAAAGCAATTAGCGACCAGGTAGTCCAGGGGCCGCCCCGAAAAAATGGATGATTGCCGATTCGGGGGTCGCCCTCCAGTTCCCAGAAATCGTGGAGTAAGTACTGGGGCGACACCGATGACACTGGTATGTAGTCAGCGATGATATTCATGTCGAGGGTCGGGTCGAGTCGGGTGTGTTGTTAGGTATTGATTATTATTATTATTATTATTATTGATTTAATTAATTAAATAACTTTTGTTTGTTTTAAATTTTTATATATATTAGTAGATGATATTCAAGGACACTTTATATATGTTATATAAAAAATATAATATTTAAAAAAAACTGTATGACACTTGAAATAAATTTTTTCAAAAAATTTTAAAAATAAATTAATATTTATTAAATTAAATAAATACTTTTTTTGTGTAAATATTATTAATATTTATTTAACCACATAATTAAACAATATATATTTATTAATAGTTTACTAAATATATATTTTTAATGATTATATTTACAAAATAAAAGATTTGTTGTTATCTTTATTATACTATATTTAATATAAATAACATTTAAAAAGTGGTGGAATAAGTCTATGAATTTATTTTCTATTAAATTAGATTTAATTTTTTTTTCTCTAAATAACAATAACTATTAATTAATTATAAATTAAAATAATAATACATTTTATTAAAGTTAATCTGATGGGATGACTACACAGTATATACAGTACACACTAACACACATACATACATATAGCTATAACCATGAAAACTGGAAATACATTTTTTTTCATTCAAAAAAATATAACTAAATTATATAACAAGTGTCTGATCCACAAAAACTGGACTTTCAGTACAATTTATTTTTTTTTGTTATAAACAACACATTAGAGAGAGAGAGAGAGAGAGAGAGACATACATACAGTACAATACAAATTGAGATCTTCAGGTCTCTCTCTCTCTCTCTCTCTCTCTCTCTCCTATCCATACCTACCTATCAGTAGTGATGGTAAACCTCTTTTTTTTTGCTAAATATTTAGGCCGAACCGGGAATACAACAACACAAGTCCAGAGACTACTACCAAAAAAAAAAAATTATTATAAAAATTTATATATAGATATACACTGTGTGTGTGTAATGCAATTTTATTTTTAAAAACTATATACAAGAGTTTAGTTTTATTTTTTGATTATTATTTAGTGAAATAATAATAATAATAATAAAAACAACAAACTCTAATAATGACCCAAATTTTTGTGAGCATATATAGAGGTCAGGTATATATATATATATACACTTATATATGACTTATATGTTGTGTATATAACCTAATGACAAGTCATCTCTCTCTCTCTCTCTCTCTCTCTCTCTCTCTCTCTCTCTCTTTCTTTCTTTCTTTTTTTCCTTAAATTTACAGTTATTTTAGGATAAAGTTTTTTTTTAATTTGTGTATACATTAACCCAAGTATTACTATTTTTATTGAAAGAAAAAGAGCCATAGATTTTGTGAAAATATTTATTATTTTTTTCATTATCAAACAAATGTTTTTTTAATTGTTTTAATAATAGTAGTACTAATGTAAACACGTGTCTGTTATTATTAGCAGTAATTAACATTAATAAACACAACTAATAACTTAATAATAATAATAATAATAATAATTTTATTTAATTTGTAACTTACCGGCCAATAACACCATTACTACTACTACTACTAATTTACTACTATTTAATGTCATAACGATTTTCAAATTACAGTAAGTTTTTCCCAATTTTAACTAAATTACTAATATTTTTATAATATTATATATAATTTATAAATTATTCTCTCTCTCTCTCTCTCCTAAATTACATTAAATTTTGTGTTAATCTAATACAATAGAAACTAATGTATTCAAAAAAAATAATCCCAAAATTTTTTTTTTTAAATATTAATATTATAAATATAATAATATATGATAAGTTATAGTAGCATGTTTGAATTTTAATGCTTGATAATTATTGTTATTAATTTTTTTATTCAATAAATTATTATTTAAATAAATATATAAATAATACTAAAATTATTATAATATTTTTATAATATAATTTTTTTTTAAAAAATAACTATTGATTAAAGATATCCTACAATTAATGGCACAACTGTTTTGGGATTTTTTGTTTGTTTGATTAAATAATAATAATAAAAAAAGTTTTTTTTTCAACAAAAAAAATATTGTAGACTTTACTGAAAATTTAAATATAATAATAATAATTATTATTATTATTTAAAAAAAGAAGATAAAAAAAATAAATAACTAAATGTATATAAAATTATGAAATAAAACTTAATGTTTTGTACAATATTTTCAACATTTTTATCATAGCTAACGGATTGTCAACACATTTATGTATTATTATTATTATTATAAAAGTTTTTTTTTATTATACAAAGTTTGTGTTCAACATAACAACAACAACAACAATAAACATTGTATATTAAAAAAGTTATTATAAAATGTTTTTATAAATCAACTTTTAATTACTATTAATATAATTTTTTTTTATAAAATTTGTTACTATTTTTTTATTTGATTCAAAAGTTACTGTCAAAAAAATAGTAGTGAAAAAATTGTTTGTGTGTTTAAATAAAATAAAAAAATAGTTATATATATATTAGAAAAAATCAATTAATTAAACAATGATTTTATCGTCAATCGCATCGTTAATTGATTTTAAATACATATTTTACGATTTCTGGGAACTGGAGGGCGATCCACGTATCGGCGATCGTCTATTTTTTCAGGGCGGTCCCTGGACAACCTGGTCGCTGATTGCCGGCTACATATATTTTGTCAAATGGTTGGGGCCGGGACTGATGAAGGACCGGGAGCCCTACCAGTTGCGTACACCGATGATTGTCTACAATTTTACAATGATTTTGGTAAACGCCTGGTTCTTCTATCAGATATTCTGGGTATTCAGATTTGGGTTGGATCTGAATTTGGCTACATTTGTACGGCCAGATCCCCGAGATACCGGTCCATTGGCTATGAGTGCCGTACAGTTGGGTTATTTGTTTTTCTTGTCGAAACTGGTCGATCTGATTGAGACAGTGTTTTTTGTTTTGCGCAAAAAACATAACCAGATAAGCAATTTGCATGTCTATCATCACAGTGCCGTACCATTCCTGGTACACCTGTCCCTGAAAGTATGTCCAGTGGGCGGACCGGGCACACTGTTCCCCCTATTGAATACCATTGTCCATATGGGTTAGTAGTATATATATATACTAAATTATTTTATATAATCAATATTATATTAATTAGTATACTATATAAAGCTATTATTTTAATTTTAAAAATATATAATTAATAATATCTATAGTTAGCTTATAAATAATGAGAGATTATTTATTTTTTATATTTATAAAATAATTGAATTAATATTTACAGATTTTTTTGTTGTTGATAATAATTATTTAAATAGATAAATATTTATTTAGTATTTTTTGTTTAATTATTATTATTATTAATATTAGTGTCATAACATTAACTAAAAACAATAACAATAAAAAAAATAAAGTGTGAAAAGTGTTTAAACTATTAAGTGTTTTACTGATAAAAACAAAAAACAAATAAAACATAAAATATTTACTCTAATAGCTCTCATATTTATTAAAAAAATTATTATTTAATATTTATTTTTTTTTTGTACAAATAGATAGCAAATTTTTTTAAAGGAAAAACTATGTTTTAATAATAATAATAATAATAATAAAACTTTAAAAATTATTTGTTATCTATTGTCAATTTTGAAAATACAAAATTTTTATGTTTGTGTGTGTTTGTTATGTTTGACACAATTTTACTAAAATATTATTATTAATATTATTATTTTAAAAATAATAATTATTTGTTAAAATTAATAAATTTAATTTAAATCTCAGTTTACATTTAAAGAAAAACAAACATTTTTCACTAATATTTGTTGTATACAACAACAAAATAATTTTCAAAAAATAATTTAACTAATTTATTAATTAATTAATTAAAATATTTTGCATGTTTATCTATTATATATTGTATATCACACACAAATATCGATGACAACTAAAGTAAAATTTTAATAATAATAATAATAATAATAACATTAATATTCAAATTTAAAAATGTAAATAAACTAATATAAATATTTTTTGTTTGTTTATAATCTATTTAAAAACTAAAAAAAAAATTATTATATATATAAATATATATATATATATCTTATTATCTATACATATATCCAGTGATGTACGCCTACTATGGACTGTCGGCATTGGGACCGTCCGTCCAGAAGTACTTGTGGTGGAAACGATACATAACACAGATTCAATTGATTCAGTTTATCATATTTTCAATCTATAGCCTGATATTTATGTGCTTTCAACAGGACTTTCCCATTATATTCACTTATATGGGTCTCTGTCAGGTAGTTGTCAATTGAAAGAGAGAGAGAGAGAGAGAGCGAGAGAGAGAGAGAGAGAGAGAGAGAGAGAAAGAGAGAGAATATATATATAATTTTTGATTAATAATATTTTTTAATATAATATTTTTTTAGCCCCCATTATTTTTCTACATGTTTTGGTCATTTTATCGACAATCATATGCCAGTAGACAAACAAAGTCACAACAAATGTTGAAAACAAACTAATCTTTTTTTATTATTATTATTTGTGAAATTTTACAAAAAAAATAGTATATTATTGTTTTTTGTTTTTTTTATTAATTAATTATTATTTTTCATTTAATATTTTATGAAATATAACAAATAAATTAAGGACTCAAAAACAAATATATAAATAATATTATATTATAGTTTTGCATTTATTGATGTGTAACTAAAATAAAAAAAAATTATGTGTTATTTGTTAAGATAAAAATATTAATATAAATATTATAATTCTATATAAATAAATATAAATAATAAATATAAATAAAATAAAAAAATATAATAAATAAATATAAATTAAAAAAAAATATTTATTAATTCATTCTTATCTCAAAAAATAATAACAATAATAATATTACTTAACACTTATTTAGTAAAAAAAATAAAACAATTAAAACAAACAAAAAAACAAATTTATATATTTATATATCTATATATGTCATACATATAAATATATACTGTATATACATTTATAAATAATAATTCAACACTATTTCAAAATCAAATTAATTTACAACAACAACAAATAAATACCGATTAGTGTGATAGAGGAGAGGGGAGGGGGTAATGGGTAGGGGTAAGTATTAAAAAATAGTAGGGGGGACAGTTATCCAGATTTTTTACGTTTAGGTACTCCCGATTTCGTTAATCCCGATCCCCTTTTCTTAGAGCTACGAAACTCGACCGGCGCTTGCAATGCATTATCAAAATAGTCTTCAACTGATTGTAATTAATTAATTAATTAATTGTAATAATAGTTAAATTAATTAATAAAAAAAACAAAAACAAGTAGTTGTTGTTGTTTACCATCAAAATCCCAATCGATGGTCTCATTCTTGAGCTGTTCATCCAGAAACTGGTTCAACGGTTCAAAGTACTCGAGCATCGGCTTAGCGTCCATACGATCGGTGCCAGTCATCAGTTCCAGTTGTTTAGGCCACAGATCGGACGATCCGATACTTAACATTGTTCTACATTTAATTATATGATATATAATCTGTTATTTTTGTTGGTTGGTTGGTTGGGGGTGTGATAGCATACCTGAGCTTATTGCCGGCATCCCGATCGCCATCGATATCGCACTCGTATAGTGGTACATTTTTCTGGCTAAACTGGCACAGGGATTTATGAAACTGGAACTGTAGCAAAATGGCTGCAAAATATCTATACAAACATCCACAAAATTTATTGGTGTAATACAATATACAATTTGGAGGGTGGGGTGGGATGGGATGGTAGCTCAGTACCTAATATACTCCATATTGGTAGCGACATGATATTTGGCACCGGCATCAAAGTCCTGTTCGCTGCGTTTGACCGGCGGCGACAGTCCCTGCAGTTGACCCCTCAGTTTCCACCATTGTTTGTTGAGAGCCGAGGCCGGTATCTTTTCGGAAAATACATCCCAGCGCCACTTATCCACCAAATAGGCCCAGGGTAACTGTGCTACTTTGCCCAGGGCCATTTGTAGCTGAAATTTAATGGTTATCTTTTTCATGTATGCCGAGTCCGTATTGAGTTTCAATAGTTTTATTTTGGCCAAATGTTTCGGTGTCGAAACCGATAGGGCTATCATATCGCCGATTGCCTCGTGAAAGCCTATATATTAATTTAATTAAGACACATACAGGTGCTCGGTGTATAAGATATATATTGAATTGTGTAAAATTTATAGGGGTGTTGATAGATATGGCTAAAACAAACATACCAGGATTGCCGCCCTCCCGATAGATACCCGGCTGATCTCTGTAGTTCATAAAGTACTGGATGTGTCCCATTTCGTGATGGACGGTAACCAAGTCGTACATTGTAATGTCAGTGCACATCTTAATCCTAAAATTTTTTTACAGGGACAGACAGACAGGCAAACAGACATATCGATAGACTAAGAGTTAGGAACTACAGTCTAGTACAGGCATACATACATATGCCAACGATTAGCACATACCTAAAATCGTTACCACTGATGTCAAAGAAATCCATGGCATAGGCGTGACTAATCAGACAGACAGACAAAAATAAACACAATTTGCTGAATATTAAAAAACTTTATGTCTTGTTTAAAACACCCCCAACCCCACACAAACACCCCGAAAAAAAACCTACCAAACCATTTGCCGATTGGGTATCTTCTCGATGACCGATCGGTTCCAAAATGTCGGTGTCATCGGAGACAATCCCAAATTGATAAAGAAACTGTCGGCCAATTCAAACATCCGTTTTGCCGTATAGTTCTTTGGACGGGACGGGTAGGGGTGGTGTTGTTGGGTGAGGTGGGGTGGGGTAGAAATAATTGAATTAAAATAAAACAAACAAATTAACCAATCAATCAATCAATAACAAACTTGTCGACGTAGCTCATTGGTAACGTCCAGTTTGGCCACATCGGGATACGGGTCAATACCCGGTTGTTTTTCCATCAGGTTTGCCCAGTCCTGGGCCCACATATTGCCCAATAGATGTGCCGGTATAGTACCGTCCTGGGGATAATCTTTAGTTTCGCCATACTGTTTCCTCAGGTGCATCCTAACGTATGCGTGCAGTTTCTTGTACAGTGGCATCACATCCATGAGCAGCCGTAGGGTTTCCTCTTTGATGTTCGGTGTTTCCCAGGAGGCTAGCCATAGATCGTCCAGTGTATTGAACTCTGTTGGGTGTATCGATAGTTATATATATATATATAGTAAAAAAATATGAACTGTCAGCTTAGGTAGGTAGGTAGGTGTGTGTGTATACATTGTATATATATATATATATATGTCATTTACTTTTGTTTGGCAGTTCATTGAGTTTGGCCGCCCGATTGCCCAACTGGTAGTACTGTATGTAATAGTTGCGCATCTTTTTGCCGGTTTGGGCCCTCCAGTTAACCCACGCCTCCTTAAGTGTTTCATATGATTTTGATTCAGTGAATATCCTTTCGATATCTAACAAAATAGTTGTAAAACAAAACAAAACAAACAAAACAGTATTAGTTATATGAGATTAAGCACATGGAGGAGTAGGGGGAGGGGTGGGTGTAGGGGAAAAGGGTGGTTATCATCATAACATACCAGGTTTAAACTCAAGCATACACTCTCCGTCTACACATATTTTGGCCGTACTGTAGATCTTCTCCATTTTATTTGTCACTTTATAATACTAATATGAAATTATTTGTATGTAAAGGACAGGTATGTCAGATGTCTATGTCTATGTGTTTGTGTGTGTGTGTGTGTCTGTCTGTTTGTCGTTATAATGGACATACCTTTTTCTCTTCGGCCGGTTTCAGTGCCGACGTCCCGATGACGGCTATCTTTTCAAATTGTCGACTATTGAATAGTAAAAAGTCGGTCCAATTATACTGATTGACTTCATGGGTCCACCGTTTTTGGAAAGCGCTTAACAATTCAATAGATTTTGACTGCATTTTGTTGTTGTTGTTTCAATCAATAGAAAAACACAATTTAAAAAAAAAATCAAAATCATTTTATAGATATGAGGTTAACACACATACACACACACATGCAGACACACACACAAACCGACACATACACTCATACATACCCACACACACACATACACACACATACATACACACACACACACACACACACACACACATAGACACACACACACACATAGACACACACCCATACATACACACACAAATAGACACACGCAGACACATACAAACACACACACAAACACACCAATACATACATACATATTTCACACACACACACACACACACACACACACATACAGTCAAATACACACCCACGCACATACATACATAAGCACACACACACACACCTTAATGGCCAGTTTGGCTTCGGTCATATCGGTATCGTAGTCCCAGTTTGTATTACACAATCGGTTTTGTTGGACGATATATTCTTTGTCAAAATTGGCCAAAAGATCGGTTCCTAACGATTCATCAGTGATCACATGTTTAGGTGTTTTTGGTTTTGTTGTTTTGTTGGTTGGTTTGCATTCAATTAATAAACATTTTAACGACAATATTATTATTAGTAGTAATAGTTGTAGTAATTGTAATAATTGACTATTAATTAATAATTTCATCACTTAATATATATATAAATTAAATATTTTACTATATATACATATTAGATAAATATATATTCATATTATGCATATACTGTTTACATACATACATATATATGTAATTATTATAATAAAATTTATAATAGAAATTATTATTATTTATTTTTTTAATTAATTAAAATCATTTAGTTTAACATAAATAATATCTCAATGATATCGTATATATATATATGTTTTGAAAATCAATTAATTTTGTTGCTATTAAATAAGTAATTTAAATTAATTTTTTATTATTATTTATTTTCATATGTAATTAAATTCAATTGATTCAACTATTAAGGACAGTATAATACAATAAAGTAGAAATAATTTTTAATTTATAAACAATTATCTATAAATAAATATATATAAAAAATGTTAATAATAATACTAAACATTAATTAAAACCATATGTTTTGAATTTAAAAAAATAAATTATAATTACTCAATTTTGAAAAATATACTTTTTTAAAAAAAATTATATCATTATAAATAAATAGACATTTAAAAATAATCTATATTTAATAATAATACATAAAAAATTTCATATATTAGTATTAATCTAATAATTATTATTATTTTATTTAAATCAATACTACAGTAAATAGAAATATTATAAGTTTTAAAAATAATATTAAAAATAATTTTATTATAATATTTAGTAGTAACACACAGTTTTTTTATTTATTTATAAATTTAATATTACATTTTAATAAAACAAAAAATATCGTCAATTTATGTTTTAAATTTATTATGAAAAAAACTTATGACAACATTTAAACTTTAACTTTTTTTCAATTTTTGCATGTACATTTTTCTAAACAAAAAATTAATTATTATTATTATAAACAATATGACATAATATAAAAATAATACGGTAATTAAATTAAATACTTTATTAAAATTGTAATTTTAAAGTTTTTTATATATATATATTTATTCATTGGGATTAATTACAATTTAAAAAAAAATAATTATACATTAAATACTGTGTATTTAATACTATTTAATATATTTCAGTTAATACTGTAGAAAACTAATATTATTGAATTATATATTGAAATCATTTAGTAAAATAAAATTTATCAATAATCTAAATAATAATAAATCCGCTTATAATGTAGTAAAATAGTCATTAACTAAAACAAAAAACAAACAAAAAATTAAAACACAATTTAGGATTAAAAACATTAAATGATTAATAATTTTATGTTTTTTTTAAATGTAATAATTTATATAAATCATTGTATTTCCAGCCGACTTTAATACCGGCCGTTTTGATCTCATTGTCCAAATAGTCGTTCAATGGTTTAAAATATTGAATCATTGGCTGAACGTCTAGTTTATCGGTAGTTCCCGTAAACTCTTTCAATATGACTGGCCATGTCTTACTCGAACCCTTTGACAACATAATCCTGTTTTTTTATACAAATAAATAAATAAATATATATTTAATATATTTTCAATTTTTTTTTGATTTTAATATTACTGTAATAATAGATTACTTCAATAGATTACCGGCTTCTTTGTCGCCATTGATATCACAATTGTGTAGACTTTCATTTTTTTCCCGAAAACTGCATAACTTTTGGTGAAATTGAAACTGCAATATATGTGACACAAAATATCTGTAAAATTGAAACCAAATTAACCCACAAAAAAACAATTGTAACTAAAAATTAAAAATCTATTATTATTATTATTATTATTACATTTACCGGATGTATTCAATATTGGCCGATATATGCATTTTGGCTCCGGGATCAAAGTCGCGTTTGGTGCGTTTGACTGGCGGCGATATACCCTGGTATTTGAGTCTCAATTTCCACCAGTGTCGGTTCAGGTCGGCCGATGATGTCTGGCCATTGAACACATCCCAACGCCACTTATCCATAATATAGGCAAACGGCAGAAATGCCAACTTATCCAATGCCATCTGCAACTGAAACTTGATGTCCAACTCATGGGTCGCATGAACTGAACTATTCAATAGTTTGAGGACATCTCTCAAGTGTTTGGGTGTCTGAACTGATAGTGCCATCAGATCGCCAATTGATTCGGTAAATACTTGAAAATTAATAGAAAATAATAATTATTTTTTTTTGAAAAAAACAAACACAAAAACATCATTATGTATTTTATTATATAAGGTTATAATATAATAAATAATTAATAAATAATATACTAATGTGACCCCTGCCTATACGGTTAATGGTTTGGGTAGATAATAATACCCTGGGTAATAATCATAATAATAGCTAACTGACCTTTATGGTGATTAACCCGATAGATGGTTGGCTGATGTTTGTATTGTTGATAGCACTGTACGACACCAATCATATGGTAAACAGCCAGCAGATCCCTCATTGAAATGTTTGTGCACTAAATAATACGGTAATCCTTATTTGATTGATCCATAAAATCATATGAATTTGCGTGACTAACAAAATATATATATATATATATATATTTACTCATAATTATTATTATTATATATATAGTAGTCTACTGTTATAATCATAACCATCACCTACCAGACCATGTGTTTGTCGGGTATTTTCTCGATAACCGATTTCTGCCAAAATTCATCGGTCATCGTATCCAAACCGAGATCAACGAAAAACTTTTCGGTTGTCCTAAACATTACGTCCCTACATTACGTTACGAATTATATGAAAATAAACTGTTTTTATTTAATTTGATGTTTATAAGTTACCTGGCTCAAGTGATAAATTATGTTTGCCTTTAACATTAATTTTGGCCGTACTATAGATTGTTTCCATATTAGTTGTAACTTTATGATACTATCAATTAGTTTATTATTATTTTTAAAAAATTTAGAATAATTAAAATGAATATTTGTTTAATAAAAAATGATAATAATAATAATTATTAAATTAATTTTTATGTCACCATATCTTCGTCGTCCTTATCGAGAGCTGCCGTCCCAATGACCGCCAGTTTCTCGAACTGACGCTTAATGTACGGCTCGAATGTCGACCAATTGAATCGTTGAGTTTGAGCTAACTGTGCTTTTTTGTAGTTATTATACCGAACATTAGCAGCATTCTAATAGTAGGACAGTTGGTGGTAGTGGTGATGATGGTGACAATTTGGGACAGTTAGCAAAAAATATATATATAATAAATTGTATTTTAGTTGATCCGTATGTTTATCAACTGTTAATTATAACCAAACTTTTTTGTTTGTTTGTTTGTTATAACCCCTTCCCCGGGTATATCCCCGGGTTAGCTAAGTTAACTATACAGAGTATACTACATACCCGTGCTTTTTCGGTATCCCTATTAATATTGACCGCATAATTCCATTCACCTTGTTTCTTTAAGTTATTTTCCATTGCCAATACATGGTTAACATAGGACAGGTAGTTTTTGGCAATTTCCTGGTCAGTTATCTTGTCATTAGTAGTGTTGGTTGTGATGATGTCGGTATAGGTGTCGGTATCCAATACCATACCCGGATCACTAACATTGTTAGCATTGATAATAGTTGTTATTATTAATAGAAATATTACTAACAATAATAGATCTATTGTTAGTTTAAATCTATTAGTCATCATTATTAATATACAGTATTATTATTATTATTTTATTTATTTTATTATAAACACAAAAATTATTTTAATAATTATAATAATACAAAACCATATGTTTGTCTAAATTAATGAATTATATGATTACTATATTTTCAAAAAATTATACTTTACTTATAATAATTACACATTATATTACTATTGATATTTAGTATTGATTTTTGAAAACATTGATTATAAAAAAATCTAATAGGTAAGATATTTAATTATAAAAAAGAAAATATTAAAGTTAAATTATTAGCTTTAAATTTTACCATTAAAAAAATTTTATTATAATAAATTATGAATAGTAATCTTTGAATATAATTGTAATTTTTTAATTAACTTACATTATTAGCATTTATAATAGTTATTATTAAAAATATCAGTGACAATAATAATAATAATAATTATTATTATAATAGATCTTTAGTTTATGTTTATTAGTTGTCATAATTACTGCTGTATATTATTAATATTATTTATTAATACATTATAAATAAATAAATAAATTAAATTAAATTGAATTATATTATAAAATAAATAAAATTAGCAACAACAACAAACAATTAATTGATAATATTATTACTAAATTAAATTGTATTTTGTTTTTTATTATTTTGTTTTATTAATTTCAAACATTTATAAGTAAATAAATAATAACAAAAAATTTCAATAAACAATAAATTTATATGAATTTCAATGAATAGTAAATTTAAATATTTAATAGTTTTAAATAAAATAAAATAAATAAATACAAAACAAATAGTTTGTAAAAACCATATGTTTGTAAATAAAAAAATTATATATAATTATTTAATTTTGAATACTTATAATATTTTGAATTAATTATTATTATTATTTAAATAATTGATCATTTATTGAGTTGTTTAGTATTTTAATTTTTTAAAAAAATGTTAGTCTATTAGCATAATTAGCCACAAATCTGGCCAAAATTGTCGATAATATTGTAAATGTTTTAAATACTGGATTTGATGATGAAGTAAAATAGTCATCAACTAAACAAACAAACAAAAAAATAACAAATAAAATAATTAATTATAAAATAACAAACAAACACAACAACAAAAAATCTAGATTTTAAATTATCATTTTAAAGGAATAAAATATATATTTTTTATAAAAAAATCTTATATTTAAATAATATATAAAAATTAAAAATAATTATAAAATCTAAAAATAAATTATATATAAACCATTTGAATCCCAGCCAACTTTAATATCGGCAGCTTTGATCTCACTGTCCAAATAGTCGTTCAACGGTTTAAAATACTGGATCAACGGCTGGACATCCATTTTATCGGTATTTCCCGTAAACTGTTTCAATATGACTGGCCATGTCTTACTCGAGCCCTCTGATAACATAATCCTGTTTTCATTTTTTTTACAAATAAATAAATAAATATAAATAAATATTTATAATTATTAAAAAAAAATATAATTAAATATAATATTAAATAAATAATGACTTCAATAGTTTTCCGGCGTCTTTGTCGCCATCGATATCGCATTCGTGAAGTTTTTCATTATTTTCCCGAAAACTGCATAATTTTTGGTGAAATTGAAACTGCAATATATGTGATACAAAATATCTATATATATATATATATAAAACAAAAACAAAAAAAATAAGATTTTTTTTTAAAGTAATAATTCAATTGCAAACATCAATTATAATCATCAGTCAATCAATCAATCAATTAATCATTTTTACCGGATATACTCAACACTGGCCGGTATATGATATTTGGCTCCGGGATCAAAATCGTTTTCGCTGCGTTTGACTGGCGGCGATATACCCTGGTATTTGAGTCTCAGTTCCCACCAATGCCTGTTCAGATTGGCTGATGATGTCTGACCGGAAAACACATCCCAACGCCACTTATCCATAATATAGCCAAACGGCAGAAATGCTAACTTATCCAATGCCATCTGCAACTGAAACCTGATGTTCACATCATCGGTCACCTGAACTGAACTGTCCAACAGTTTGAGGACATCTCTCAAGTGTTTGGGTGTCGACACTGACAGTGCCAGCAGATCGCCGATTGCCTCATGAAATCCTATTTATTTATTTTTTTGATTAATTAATTAATTTTGATTTTGATTAATAGTATTTATAATTAGTTAATAGTATTTATAATTAGTTAATAGTATTTATAATTAATCAATAGTATTTATAAATAAACATATATATATATATATAACTAATTAATTTAAAAAAATAAATAAATTTATAATTACTATTATACTAATAATAATACCTATAACTAAAACTAGTACTTTAATAATAAGGATAATAATAATAATAATAATAATAACTAACTAACTGACCTGGATTAGCACCTTCCCGGTAAACTGTTGGCTGATTTTTATACTGTTGATAGTACTGGATGTGTCCCATTTCGTGATGAACTGTAATCAGGTCCTCCATTGTGACATCTGTGCACTGTTTGATACGGAAGTCCTTTTTCGGCTGATCCATAAAATCCCAGGCAGAAGCGTGACTTTTTATTTTTATATACAGTTATATATACAGTATATATATTAATATATAGTATGTTAGATATATATGATATATAATTATTAATAAATATCAATAAAAACAACTAATAATAAATCCTAATCCTAATAATCATAACCACATCATCACTTACCAGACCATCTGTTTGTCGGGTATTTTCTCGGTAACCGATTTCTTCCAAAATTCATCGGTCATCGGATCCAATCCGAGATCGACGAAAAATTTTTCAGCTTTTTTAAACATTACGGTTGCGTTATATCCCTTTAATTAAAAAAAACAAACAAATAAATGACAATTGATTATAATATTAATGTTTTTTTTTGTTGTTTAATAAATATTTGTTAATAATAAATAATAATAATAATAATAAATATGTTAGATAATAAATATATTGTTATAAACCAAATAATTAGTTAATTTTTTTGTCAATAATTTGATAGTTTGTTGATATTTTTGTATATAATTGTTTCAATAAAAATTAAATAAATAATGTTTAATTAAAAATAATTAAAAGCTATATATATTAATATATTATATTATATATTATATTAATTTACTGATTACCTGATCAATCATGGCTTGTTTAACATCAATAGTTTGGGCATCGGGACCGATACCATCAACCGTTTGCAATATATTGCTCCACTGTTGGGCCCACATATTACCCAACAAGTGTGCCGGTATTGTACCATCTTTGGGCATTTTACCCGGATATTTCTCAGATAATTTATGTCTAATATAAGCGTGTAGTTTCTCGTAAAACGGTTTCAAACCGTCTGTCCATAGCTTCTCTGTTTGTTCCTTAATATCGGGTGTTTCCCATGAAAACAGCCACAAGTCGTCCAGTGTTTTAAACTCTTTTTTTTTTTATTTACAAATATGTAAAATATATAAATAAAATTATATTATAATAATAGTTAATAAAAACTATTGTATATAATAATAATAATAATACATACCCTTATCGGGTAATTTGTTTAGTTTTGCCGCTTTGTTGCCCAACTCATAGTATTTAATAAAATCGTCTCTCATTTTACTACCGGTTGCGTCCCTCCAGTTAACCCATACCTCCTGTAGTTCATCATAATCATCGGATTCGGCCATTATTTTTGTTAAGTCTAGAAAATAATAATAATATTAATAATAAAAATTATTATTATATTATAATTATACTGTATATATATATACAGTATATTGTAAATTATAACTTAACTAGGACATTTATTTTTAAATAAATATATATATTTATATTTTTAAATAAATTTATATATTTATATTTTTTAAAAAAAATCGTAATATCCATACCTGGCTCTAGTGATAAATCTTTTCTATTTTTGACATTAATTTTAGCCGTACTATAAATTGTCTCCATGTTGCTAGTTACTTTATTATACTAGGTAAATTTTTTAATTATTATTATTATTTTATTTAATTAAAAAAAAACAAAAAATAATTATTAAAGCAAAAAAAACATTTTTTTTTAATCTACCGTTTCTTCGTCGTCCTTATCGAGAGCTGCCGTCCCAATGACACCCAGTTTCTCGAACTGGCGTTTAGTAAAAGGTTCAAATGTGGACCAATTGAACCGTTGGGTATCCGATAACTGTCTTTTTTGAAAGTCATTAAAACGTACAGTTGCAGTGTCCTAATTAGGTTGAGAGGTGGGGTATGGTAGGGTAGGGTGGGTTAGGAATAGCATAGTGTTTAGTCAAATAAAACAAACAAAATTATTTTTACTTATGCTATGATTATTTAGGCTATATTTAGGTTGTATTAGGTTTATTTAAATCACCCACATCAATTATATATACAGTATATATATATATATATATTAGACATACCCGTGCTTTTTCCGTATCATCATTAATATTGACGGCATAATTCCATTGGGCCTGGGAGTTTATATTGCTTTCCATAGCCAATGCATAGTTGACATAGGACAGGTAGTTTTTGGCAATTTCCTGATCGGTTATCTTGTTGATGTCGGTACCGGTTTCGGCACCCAATGACTGACCATTTTTCAATAATAATATTAACAATACTACTAATAATATTGGATTTATTATATTAGTTGACATTAGTATTATTATTATTATTATTATGAAATTATTATTAAAATTTTATTTCAAACAATTTCAAATAAAATCAAAAATATTATCTAAATTATTTAAAACAAAAATAATTTTTTAAAAATTAATTTGGTTTTATTTAATTATTATTTAATTATTATATTAATTAAAGTATAACCAGATTACTGGTTTGATTGAATTTTAGTACTGTATACTTATAAATAAACTAAATAATTAAATAATTTTTTAAAATTTTTTTTTATTTTAAAAAAACTAACTTATATACGATAATATAATTTAATCATAATTATCATCAGTATATTTTATTTTTTATTACAATATTAACAATAGTAAAAAATGTTATTTTTTATGACTTAAAAAGTTATGTTTTTTTTTTAAAAAAAAAATTCATACATATATATACTGATATATATTATAAAACTAAATTAATTGGATAATAATGCTTATAATTTGGTTAATAAAAAGATTTATTACTATGTTATTATTGATAATAATAATAGCAATTAATATGAAATACTGCCTATTATTATGCCCTAAAAAAACTAACACTACTGTAATAAAATATACAATATATATATATACTATATATATATATAATACTCAATTGTCATATATATATATATATGTATATATATTATACTACAGTATTAAAAAACAACTGTTATATAAAACAATTTTTTAAAAACAAAATCAGTAATATTTTTTTGTTATCACGAACTCCTGAAATAAATACATATCTGAATTCTATATTTCCGTCTGTCTGTCTGTCTGTCCTAAATTTTTTTTTCGAATTTTGATTTCAGATTCGGGTTATATAACATCATAATATAAGGTATTGGTATCTAGCAACCTAGATAAAATGGCGTCGAAAATAGTGATGTTAATAAATTTTTAAGTTTTAGATTTGTGTGAAGTATAAATTTAAAAAAATAAATTATAATGGATCTGAATTGAAATTTTTATCTTCAAAAATATTGAGAAAATGGCGACTAAATTATTATTATTTTTTTGATATTTATTAATGATGTGAAACAAAATGAAGTTAAAAATTGTTTTTATTTATTTTTTGTTTTTAAAAATTCCAGATAATTATTTTAAATATTTCACTTAATTTAACTTAAACAAAAAAGCATTGCTAAAGCTGAGTTTATTTTGTTATACTGAGTCATTTGATAATTTTAATTAAATTTTAAAATTAAATTTGTTTAGAAGTTCAGATTAGAAGATTATATGGAAATGCTTTTTAGCATTCTCAACTGGTAATTTATTATTATTATTATTATTTTTAATACCAATAATTTATGATTTATATAACTTTAGTTAGAGGAAGAAAATTAATTATAAAAAAATTTTTTTTTAGTAATAATAATAATTATTATAATTTCCTCTCTATTTGTTTTTGTTTGTTGGCCTAACCCGGCAATAGTTTGCCGCAAACTGTGTCCCAATTATAACCAATTGATAGCTATATTTCGTCCACTATTTGTCGCGGGAGGGGAGGAATCATCAGAAACAGTGAATCATTTTTTTTTAAATTTAAAAAAAAATATCTAATTATTAAAATAAATAATAATATCATATAAACACAGATCACTCTCTCTCTCTCTCTCTCTCTCTCTCTCTCTCTCTCTCTCTCTCTCTCTCTCTCTCTCTCTCTCTCTCTCTCTCCTAAAATATAGTAATTTTAGTCATTTTTGTATTGATAAAGTTTTTCCATAAGTTTTTTTTCACTTTTTTTTTGTTGATTTGGTTTTTAATTGTGAAGTTTAGTTTGTGGCAAAACTATCGCAAAATGACTGCCGGTTAGGCCAACAAACAAATTGAGAGAAAGAGAGAGAGAGAGAGAGAGAGAGGAAATTGTAATTATTATTACTAAAAAATTTTTCAATTAATTATTATTATTATTATGTTATAGTGTTGTACATGTATTGTATAAAATTTTATAATTTTTTGTTATTATAATACTATCATTTATGATAATGTATTAAATAATATTGAGTTTATACAGTATATAAATATTTGTATTTATCATGAAATTAATTTTAAACTTAAATTTTTTGATTTTTTAAATGTTTTATATAATTCTATATACAAGGTATAAATATCTATACTTATAAATTATACGTAAATTAATTTAATTGTTATATAAAATAATATTTGATAAAATTATATATATACTGTATATAAACATAAATAATTAAACCTACAATAAAAATATAATAAATAACTTTTTAATTATATTTTTTTGGATATTTAAGTGCATTTTATATATATATATATGATTTATTGTATTGTACTGTACAATAACATTTGTACCTTGTACATATAAAATTTTATTATTATTATTTTTTTAAATACAGGTACAATAATTAATTTTTTATTATGTTAATAGTTTAATTAATTGTTAAAACAATATTTTTATATTTATTTTATCTATTTAAAATTATATTATTATTTATCATGCTATGTTTATAAAAATAAATATTATTTTTTGTTGTTGAACAATTATAATAACATATTTTATAAATATATAAATCATACTTATATTAACATTCATAATAGATATTGAATAATATTAAAATAAAAAAAATAGTCTAAAACTAATATACAGTATTATTATAATATACTGAAATATAGCAAAAAAATAATAACAGTCTATAGTCTATACAGGAAATTATTGCAATTAAAGTAATAATAATAACATTGTTATAACAATATATTTTATAACTGTATGATTGTTTGTAATAATAGAAATTGGCAATTAAGTATAATTTGAATATAATTTCTACATATATATATATATATATATATATAGTAAGCTTATATTAAAACTATATTAAATTATAACTTAAAAAAAACATAACAAATATTTCAATATACTGTATATTATATCATATAAAAAAATTATAATAACATATATAATACAGTGTCAATTGTGTGAGATACTTTCACTTACAAAACATATATTAAATAATAACCATTGAATTTGATTTTTATATATATATGTATTAATAGTATACGTACAGTACATGTATATATATATCATATCAAATGTGATTTGATTTAATTTAATATAATTAATATTATTTAAATAAACTATTATTATTATTACCAGCAATAGCTACTATACATTAAAAATCTTTTTTTAAATAGTGTCTAAAATTTTTTGTGTTCACATAATATACTGTATATATTAATATATAAATTAATCATAAAAATAAAAATTCATAAATCAATTTGAAATCTACCAAAAATATATATATACAGTATATTTATATATATATATAATTTTTTTTGTTTCTTTTAGTGAGTTGTAAAAATAAATATACAAAAATTATTTGAGACATTTAGTCATTTATTTATTTGTTTATTTAATGTATATTTTAGATATATATATATATATATATACAAATAGTTTTGGCATCAATTCAAATATTTTTTCACTCAAAAAAAATCATTTTTAAATATAGTTGTGAAATCATTTTAATAAACTATAACACATACCCTTTATGTATATATATATTTAATTTTAATTTTATTATAAGTAACAACAACAACAACAACAATTTGTTTGAATGGGTTATAACTTTTTTTAAAAAAAATTGATTAAATTAATATAATAATAATAATAATAAACATATTTAATCAAAATTAATAGATTATTTATCAAAATTATATTTATTTATATTTTTTATATAAATAAATAAATAAATATGTCAAAATATACTAGCTTAAAATTATTTTATTATTATTATCTATTATCAAGTTTATGTTGTCTAACTAATATGGCTAACATTGAATCCAATGTTATACATGTATTAGTTAATGTCTATAATGAATCACAATTTATTTGGAACCAATGTATGGCTTATAATGTGAGTAATAATATAACTATCATTATTATTAATTGACTATTATTTAGTAAAATATATAATATTTTTTTTTTAATTATCTAATTTCCAAAAAATATATTTTTTTTATATTTCAATAATAATAATAATAATAATATAATCTAAAAGTTAGTATTTGAACTAAAATCCAATGGCAATCAAAATGTTTATAACATAATTATGATGTCATCTAATAATCGTTACAATAGTTTTATTGGGAAACTTAGGGCCGAAAATCTTGAATATCAGCTAATTGTGGCCAATAGTACACAATTGATAGCTATTTCAAACAACAGTGCCATGAAATATATGAAAACAAGTGGTGAACAATTTGATTATAATAGTTATCATCAGTTATCAGAAATCAATGATGAACTGAAACGGTTGGCCAACAGTTATGGCGATATTGTTGAACTGTTTTCGTTGGGCAAGACCTACGAAAACAGGGATATCCTAGCCGTTAAAGTGTCTAATAATAATAATAGTGATGTCGAAACCGATGCCGACCCCCTAACCAATATGACGGTATTTGATTGCGGTATTCACGCCCGTGAATGGATATCGCCAGCAGTTTGCTTGTGGTTTATACGACAACTAACCGAAACTGATCGGTACCTACTCGATGGACACCAGTTTGTCATAATACCGGTGCTCAATCCCGATGGGTGGGTAGTTATTTTATTATTATTATTATTTTTTGAAAAACAAAAAATTATTTTTATCTATTACCTACCTGTCTCTCAAATATTATTTAATTAATTTAATTAATTATTATCACAGCTATCACTATACGTGGACAGTGGACAGGTATTGGCGTAAAAATAGGCAAAACTCAAAAATCAAAGATTGTGTGGGCATTGATCTCAATAGAAAGTATTGCTATTTATTTATTATTTATTATTATTAATGTTATATAACATTAATTATTATTATTATTATCTAATTTATATTATTTTATTATACTTTACTAATATCTATATTAGTCTAATTGTTTCAATTATATTAGTGTATGAATAGATCCTAACACATTATTATCAGTAATTAACTAAATTAGTTTTTTTAAAAATAAAATAATAAGTATTAAATATATTGTAAAAAACAAGATTAACTTTTATTATATTATTTATGTTGTTGTATAATATGAAAGCAGATATGATAACAATTTAAAGTTAAAAATCTTATAAATTATATTAGTTTTTAATTAATCAAAAAACAAAACAAACAAAATATAAATGTTTGTTTAGAAATGACCCAGTTTAATTAATTTTTAAATAATATTAGTATAAACCTAGTATTACATAAACACATTAATTACAGTGTTTTTAAAATAAATAATTTATATCATAATAATAATACTATAATTATTATTAAAAATATTAATAACTAAATTTAAAAAAATATAACTAATAGTTTTAATATATATATATATATATTATTTATTTATTATTTCTAAAATTATTTAATCTCAAAAATAATTATAAAAATTAAATGTTAATAATAATAATAATTTTTTTTAAAATTATTATATCATATTATACACAACCAGTTGGCCGACCCGTGAGTTTTGTCAGCACAAGTCATCGGATGATCCGTGCGATACAGAGATCTATTGCGGTGATCGACCGTTTTCGGCCCTAGAGATCAAACATCTCAATACATTTATGTTGAAACATAGGAAACAGTTGACCGTCTATATGACATTCCACTCGTACAGCCAGATATGGGCCTATCCTTACTCGTATACTAACCAGACTACCGAAAACGACATGCGCTTAGTGAGTGTGTATATTAGTTAGTTAATATTAGTTAATTTATGATTTATTAATTTAATTTGTTTTTTTTGTGTTATATATATACAATTTATTTATCCTCCCATTCCTTCAACAACAACAACAACAAAAAAACAAATACCAGAGCTCTCTATCAAAACTGGCCGTCGATACTATCAGACAGACCAGTAATAAGATATACACTTACGGATCGTCGGCATCTATAATGTGTATGTACTGTACTTTAAACTAACTAACAAAACATATTATAAAAATAATATAATATAATAATTATTATCAATTAACTACCTGTGCAGATGCTCTACTAAACTATTTTATTATTATTATTATTTGTTTATTGTTTTATTATTATATGCCTATTGGTGTCTATGGTGTCTATATGTATGTCTACAGATAGCGCATCGGGATCAAGCATCGACTATGTATACGATTCCTTAAACGTTTCCCTATGTTTTACTGTCGAGCTCCGGGATACTGGCGAATACGGTTTCCTATTGCCGGCTAACCAGATCCAGGATACGGCTCACGAAATATGGACGGCCATTAAGGCCGTCTACGGACGTATAGTAGTCGATGACGGCGACTACGACAGCAATGTTGAAGGACAGGGATCAACAACAACGTTATCTAACAGTAGTAGTAGTAGTAGTAGTAGTATTAGTAGTAGTAATGACATAAAATATTTCAACATTATTATTATTATTGTTGTTTTAATGATATTATTTTAATTAATTATATATATATATATATACTTATTTAATTGTATTATTTAAATAAGCTAGATAACATTTTATTTTTAAAAATCTATAATTGATCTACTTAGTTTTTTTCTAAAACAATTATAATTATTATTATTATAATAATTAAATTTGTAATTTATTTTACATATATATATACACACACACAGTATTATATCATTTTATCATAATTTGTTTTTTTGTTGTTGGAAAAGGTAGGGTAAAAAACTACCTGTTCACACTCATTATACATTGTAAATTAATAATTAAAAACTCAATTTAATTAAAATAATAATGTTTAAATTGTAAATATTTTATTATTATTAGTATTATTATTATTAACGTTAAAGCATTATATTGAAATATTTTGGAAAATAATAAAAAATAAAATATTTTATAAAAAATAATAATATATATTTGTTAATATTTATTTGAAAATTAAAAATAGATTACATATAAAAATTTTTTTAAAAAAATGTTAATAAATTAATTTTAGTAAATTAAATAAAAATTTATATATTTAATTTTCTCATATTATAATACAGCCAATTAAGTATTATTATTATCTATAATATTGTCAATATCTGTATAATATTTAATTATTCAAAACAGTTTTTAAAAATATTTACTAAATCTCGTGATTATTAATATATTAATAGTTTGTTTTTAAAAAATAATTAATAAATTTCATACAAACTATTATATATAGTATAATACAAGTATTATTAGTTTTTTTAATAAATATAATATTTAATTTGCATCTCAATCACTATATATATATTTATATAATGTTTGATAACTAAATATGAATTATATTAAAAAAATATTATTTCATTCAAATCATAGGTTAGGCCTTAAAATTGTTTCATTTTCTTCTAATTATATTTAGTGTCTAAACCATTGAATTTCTTAAACTATTTTTTTTGTTGAAAAAAATATCTGAATATATCATAACATTATCTAATCAGCAGATCCGCTGCCATTGCAGCTGTTTTAGTGTCGCTGACTGTCCACAAACACAAACATTATCAACAACAACAACAACAACAACAACATGACATGAGAGGACAGTTGTCTGAAAATTGGTGGCCACTGATCGTCAACAACATTAATGCCCGTACGGCTTATCTATCAAATGGTAACGACGACGACAGCGACAGCAACGACAAGAAATTTACTGACAAATGGTTTGAACCGTTCGTATCGTTCAAACCGTTGGTGGCCAACACTGATCCGTCCAAATATCCCGCTGGATATCGCGGCCCAAACGAAGTGTCCGGTTCGGGTACTATTATGGACCGAAATGGCTTAGTGGTTGCGTCCAATCGGTCGCTACAATTGCTGACCGTAGTCATCGTACGGCTGAACAGCGGATCAGTAGTAACGGGTCGTGTGATATATCGGAACGCTTTGTACGATCTGGCCGTCGTTAAGCTGGACGGCGATCGCAGCGATTGGCCAACACCGGTCAGGCGTACCGAACCGTTGTCCATTGGCGACCCGGTACTAACGGTAGCCAATCAGGCCAGCAATCTGTACAACTATCTTAACGACGGTATTGTCTGCCGTACCGATCGGAAGAGTTCGGAAATTGGTCAGACATTGGATCCTGAATTTGATCCAATGGTCGAACTGATTCAACATTCGGCATTTGTTGGCGACACCGACTGGGGTACGGCACTGGTCGACAGTAACGGCCAATTCATTGGCATTACAATTGTAAGCGACCGTACCAACAATCTATGTCTGCCGGCCAAGTTTATCGACGGTAACTATACTATTGATATATATATATATATAACTTACCCGTCCATTACATGGTGTCGGGTGTTTAGGTAACTGTTTTTTGTTTTGTTGTTGAACTAGAATTTTTGGCAAATGTCAAATCAGATGGACTCCGAAGTTTCGGTCTACTAACCAGTTGGTATGACCCGTCCATTAGATCTGATGATGAAGTCGGTAGCCGCCGTCTAGATGGTATACCTGCCGATGCATGCACTGGCCTATTGGTTGAGGAAATATTTTTTAACAACAATAATCCCAATAAGTATAATACCCGGACACCCGATAATTACAATAAATGTTATGTAAATATCTATCTAACTATCTATCGATATATGATTTTTTTTGTTTAAAGGAAAGACCTAAACCAGTACGACATCATAACCCATATAAACGGCTTGAAACTGTTGTCTATAGACGATGTCCTCAACGCCATTGAGCACCTGAACATACAGCACGAGTCCATCGATGTTATTGTCAAAGACATGTCGTCGTCGTCGACTGTCAAACGAGTATTGCTTAAGAGATGCAAAGATATTGAGAAATATACGTTTGTTTGAATGATAGGACTGTCCGATCCATTAGTTACCATAACATATCATAACATAACATCAATGATCTTTATATTAATATATTATAACAAAAACAACAAATTTTTTATACAATAAAAATACATTACATTAAACTTTTAATAGCTTTAACTAAATTAATAATTGTAGAAATAAATCTATTAAAATTAAATTTAAATATTGTATCTATATACTATTGATATTATTGTAATATATATTTACATCAAATTATATATACGGTAGATTAGATATACAAATTTAACATTGAAATAGAAATTTAAAAAAAAAAATTGTTTATCAGTCGCCCCCACCCACTCAAATAGGTTACACCCTATATACCAATGATATACTGATAACAAACAACCTAATACCTAATATATATATCATTCAACTAAAACTCAACTATTATAAAATAAAGTTAAATATAAAAAACAAAAAAATCCAGGTAAAATATTGATTATAATAATTATTATTATTATTATTACTCTAATTATTTACAAATAATATATTTAACTAGAAAATGGGTTATAATAAATAATAAGACAGTAATCAATACAAATACTACACTCAAATAGACAAATATTATGGGATTATTGTTAATATAGTGACCCAATACGGCTGAAAATACGGCCTGAAATAAACCGTTTAGAAAAGTAGCAATGGCTCCGAACATGTTGGTCACCGGTAGTATGCCTCTCAGTAATTGATAGTACGAGGCCTGTATGGGTCCCAGTCCTGAACCCATTAGGACATTACCCACCCATAGGATAGTTAGCGAACTAATTCCGTAAATAAGAAACAATACGACCGATACGATCAATACTACGAAACTAAAGTAAATACGGAAAACAGGTGACACATATACGGACAGTGGTATAAACACCGCCCGACTAACTGCAACAGCAATCTGGAAAGCGGTCAGCATATTGTTGGCCAGTTGTTTGCTGATTAGATTGTCCGATGAAAACTGTGCGAATGGCGTCCAATAGGTTTGCCAATACCAGACAAGCGTTGACATAATTGCCGACTGCAAGCATGTCATCAATAGGACGGCACAGCCTATCTTTGATGAGGACAGTTGTGCGACAAACAAGTTGCGGGTTTTGATAAGTAAACGACTAAACCATTTGCTAGCGGTGTTGTTGTTGTTGTTGGAAGTGTTGTCAATTGTTGTCAGTTTTTTACCACGCGATCCATAATATCTATGTCTATAGATAGCAATACCGCCAAACCATATACCCGTAGCTATATTAATGACACCCACTATTAGATATGGTATCCATATTCGGGAGGGTGTTGTATGAACATCATCTGAACCATTATTGGTTACAATTGTTGATAAAAATTGATTGGCTAACGGTGTGGCCACTATCTGACCCACACTTATAACAAAATGTAGTGCCTCTGCAAACGGTCCGCATTTGGTTTCCCAGATTTCAATCATCCATACAGTGGTAAAACTATCAATAATACCGCTATCTATACCATTGATACCGTAGGCCACGTATAATATGCTCAGGTATTTAAAATTAGCAAACGGTACTGATGTCAGACCATTGACTATTAGACATAACATAAACACTGTATACTTATTAAACTTGCTATAGATTCCTATAGTTGTTAATAAGTTAATGGTTAAAGTTAATAAGTTGCTATAGTTTTTTACATTTATTAATAATCTAATAGTCTATGACATACACACACATATACACACATACACACACATATACACACACATACACACACATACACACACATACACACACATACACATACATACACATACACACACACACACACACACACACACACACACATACACACACACATACACACACACACACACACACACACACACACACACACACACACACACACACACACACACACACACACATACACATACATGTAGTTCCTATCAAACAGTGTCCACAACTTTCATCAATAAGTGTTTGGTGTTTTCATAGGCAACAAACAGAGCGCCGGACGACGGTATGGTTCGCACCAGAGTCGGTGTCAGTCCCTTATAGAGCGCTGTTAGGCCTTCCCGGCGCACAATGTCGGCCATTAAGACGGTAAACGACTTTCCACTGCCGCCTCCGCTGACACCATCACCGCCGGTGCCGGTTCTGCCGATTTGAATGCGCGATTTGACGACATCGATGGGAAATATCGCTGACCACAGACACATACCACCAAAACTGCCGGCAATTGTTGTCTTTAGTAATCCTTTTGAAAGAAAACACTGAATTAGGAAAACTGAGTCCTAATTTCATAACACATTATTCATAATAATTATAATAATACCTAAACTTTTGACATCAGTCGGCTCTGTATTGACTAATAGAAACTTTTTGGCCAATTCATAGCCGCCAAAAAAACAGAAATATCCGGGCATTTCGCGGGCTATGGTTGCCGTCAAACCTCTGTACATACCGGCTATGCCCTCAACCTGGAGTATCTGTCGAGTCAATTGAATTGGTCCACTGATTATACAGTAATATAAATAAACAAAAAATTAAATAATTTATAAATAGGTTTTTATAAATCTAATTCAAATACATATGTGTATTAAGACCCGTCTCCCGGAGCGCCTGTAGTTTACATTTGATGAGTTCCGTCGGACACAATGCAAACGATGAGAAAAAGGCGGCGAAAAAACCTTTATATATATATTTAAAAAAATATATATAAATTAAATTAATTTTTTTTTATAAATACAATATTAAATTTATATAAACAAAACACAACAACAAAAATCATTGACTTTACTATCAAAAAAAAAAGTATTTATAAATTTATATACAATACCAGCGATTGCGTAATCAATTGGTTGACATGAAGTGGTTTGTCTTAAATGACAGACCATTTGCTGACATAAACCGTAGGCACCGAATAGTACGGAATTTTCCGATAGACTGGCCGCCAGTGCCGGTCCGGTACCAGCGTATAGACCGCGCCAACTATCCTATCGCAGAAAAAAACAACGTTTTTTTATTAGTGATATCTACTGTATATATATAACTAAAACATCACCAAAAAAACAAATCAAATCAAATATGCAAACCTTTTTAATGGTTTGTTTGATACAATCCATGGTATTAGTATACAAATGAGGAAATGTTTGCATTTTTACTTTCATTGTATCAAACGGTAGTCCGACCATAACGTTGGCCACACCGCCTATGTGTGTGTGGGTGTGTGTTGGTTACCGATCGGTAAGGAAATAAGTTATTATTTTATAAATTTAATTAATTTAAAAAAAAAAATATTAATTAATTGAATTATGTAAACAAATAAAACAATTACTACTTATATTTATATATGAAGTCATGTTTTTTTAAATAATTAATTTAATAGATTACCTGTCAATCCGGCCATAGTATCGACCAAACCGATGGCCAGTTGTCTGATGATAGCATCGCTATTGTTGTCAGTGATCGGCGATGAAGACAACATTTTTCTCTCTGTATTAATAATAAATTGTAATTATTATTATTATTAAATAATTAATAATCAATTGTAATAAATTATACCAATATAAATATATAAATCCATATTTTAAGAAAAAAATAGTTATATATGGAGTTATAGACACTAAATAACTAAATTTATAAATTTTTTGATTATTTTTTTTTTAATTTATCAAAACTTTATTAACCCATGTGGGATAAAATTGTTTACTACTATAAATATCAATAATAATAATAATAATAATATTACAGGTTATCAAAATTTTTGTTCAAATAAAAAAGTTTTTATTGTATACAACAACAACAAAATTATTTTACAGTACAGTATAATATCTAAATGTTTAGTGTGTATTGTTTTATAACTAAGTTTATGTATTTATTTTTGAAAATAAAAATTTGTTTCAAAATTATATTCATTATTTAAAATTTATTATATTTTAATTTTTTGTTAATTAAAAAATACAGTATAATATAGATTATAATTTTAGAAAGCTAAACATTATTATTATTATTATTTGTTAAATATAAATAAGCTTATATAATAAATAATTTAAATACTGCAATTATTTTTTTACTATAAAATAATTATCTAAATTAAAAATTATTTTTTTAATTAATTAAATTAATTATTATATTTTTTTATATATACAAACTTAAATTCATAGTATTTTATCTACTGATAGCATTATTACTCTAATTATATTTAATTAATTAAATAAAGTTAAAAAATTATAATTAAATAAATAATTAAAATATCAGATAATTCTAAAATTATTTAACATATTTTTTTTTATAAAAAAATATGTGTAATCTAATTATAGAGTTTACAATAGAGTTATAAAAAATTATAGAGTAGTTAATAAAATTAACAATATATCATAAATTAATCAGTATATACTATATATAGTATATAACTTATATATATGAATCATCTATTAATAGTACATTAAAATTTATTAATACAATCTATCTTGATTAATTTAATTAATCACTATTAAGCTAACTGATTAACATGTCTTAACCATATACAGTATACAGTATATATATAGTTTAGTAATTTATTAATATAATAAATTATTACACTAATATACAATCATATTATAAATTATATTTATTAGATATGATTTTTCCATTATATAACACACTGTGTATATAAACTCAAATTTTTTTTAATATAATTTTATTAATTATTTTTTTTTGTAGTAAACACTAACATACAGTACATACAGTATAAATACATTTTATATAAAATTACTTATAAATACAATGAAACTAATACTAGTATTTGTTTCCCTATTATTAGTGGTAATACTGGCCGCCGACGGCTGCAGACACGACTCGGACTGTTCGGCTAAACAGTGTTGCGCTTTGGACGGCCGTAATGGACAGCAGCGGCGGGTCTGTACTGACTATATTGATATGGATAGGCCGTGTTGGGTACACCAATCAACTTTACCGGTATTATTATTATTGTTAATAATATATTTATAAAACACAAAATAATAACTTTTTTTTAGCAAAATTTAATTACAAACATTTTAATTGTTTGTTAAAATTTTTTTTAGATGCAAATTAATAGACAGTTTATGTTTAATAAGTAATATAATGTTGTATAATACAGTATATACAGTGTATTACTACTAGTATTATTGAATATTAGTTTAATATTATTTTTAAAAATATTTATAAAACACATAAAATACTTTTGTTTTTTTTTAAAGTAAAATTTAATTACAAACATTTTAATTGTTTGTTAATTTTTTTTTAGATGCAAATTAATAGACAGTTTATGTTTAATAAGTAATATATACACTATATTACTACTAGTATTATTGAATATTAGTTTAGTTTTATTATTAATAATAATATTTAATAAATCTTATACTTAAAATTGATATATTTTTTAATTATATATATATTTTTTTGTTAACTAAAACAGTATTGCGGTTGTAAGCCAGGTCTTAAATGTGCAGAAATACGCGATGATTATACACATATAATTGGCTATAAATGTGAAAATCAAAAATAATTATAATTATTATAATTAGTTGCAATGTTTGAATATATATATAGTTTATAACAATATATATATATTGTTAACTAAATTTTTGTTTTACTAAAAATAAATAAATATAGTAATCACAAATTTATTTTTTATAGTAATTTAAATAAAAAATTTTTTAAATACGATGTATATTATATTTTAATTGATACCGTTTTTTTTTAAAAAAACATTTAATAAAATATACTGTTTATAAAAATATATAATCAGTATTGAAGAATAAAATAATTATTTGTCAAAAAAAAATTACAACAACTGTATTGATTGTATATTTAAGTTGAAAATATAATACTAAAGTATTTTTTTATTATTTGTAATGTAATTAAATAAATAATAACTAATAGTATTTTGAAAACCAGTTGACCTCAAACTTCACACCAATATATATAATTATATAACAATATATAATATAAATTATATGGTAACCAAAATTTTGATTTATCACAAAAAAATTATATATATATATATATCATAAAGATATAATAAAAACAATATAAATCATAAAATAAATCAATTATACATCATCATAAAATAATTTTTCAATTTATTTAATGTAAAAGTTATCTTAAGAAAAAAAATTATTTATTATTTCAAATATTGTTTTATATTTTATGATCACAAATGTAATGTAATTTTTTTTAAAAAATTAAAAATAATAGATATCTTTAAGCATCTAATAAGCTATAATTTTGTTGTTTTTTAATGTTTAATGTTTCAACAATTATATTTATGTTAATAATAAATGAATTGCTTTAATCAATAAATAAATGTTATTATTATTAAACTAATTATTTACAAATAATATATTTAATTAGTAAATGTGTTAAAATAAATAATAATATAGTAATCGATACAAACGCTACACTCAAGTAGATAAATATTATAGGATTGTTGTCGATATAGTGACCCAATACGGCTGAAAATATGGCCTGAAATAAGCCGTTCAGAAAAGTAGCAATGGCTCCGAACATGTTGGTCACCGGTAGTATACCTCTCAGTAATTGATAATACGATGCCTGTATGGGCCCCAGTCCTACACCCATTAGGACATTACCTAACCATAGGATAGTTAGCGAACTAATTCCGTAAATAACAAACAATACGACCGATACGATCAATACTACGAAACTAAAGTAAATACGGAAAACAGGTGACACATATACGGACAGTGGTATAAACACTGCCCGACTAACGGCAACAGCAATCTGGAAAGCGGTCAGCATATTGTTGGCCAGTTGTTTGCTGATTAGATTGTCCGACGAAAACTGTGCGAATGGTGTCCAATAGGTTTGCCAATACCAGACAAGTGTTGACATAATTGCCGACTGCAAGCATGTCATCAATAGGACGGCACAGCCTACCTTTGATGAGGACAGTTGTGTGACAAACAGATTACGGGTTTTGATAAATAAATGACTAAACCGTTTGCTATCGATGTTGTTGTTGTTGTTGGAAGTGTTGTCAATTGTTGTCAGTTTTTTACCACGCGATCCATAATATCTATGTCTATAGATAGCAATACCGCCAAACCATATACCCGTAGCTATATTAATGACACCCACTATTAGATATGGTATCCATATTCGGGAGGGTGTTGTATGAACATCATCTGAACCATTATTGGTTACAATTGTTGATAAAAATTGATTGGCTAACGGTGTGGCCACTATCTGACCCACACTTATAACAAAATGTAGTGCCTCTGCAAACGGTCCGCATTTGGTTTCCCAGATTTCAATCATCCATACAGTGGTAAAACTATCAATAATACCGCTATCTATACCATTGATACCGTAGGCCACGTATAATATGCTCAGGTATTTAAAATTAGCAAACGGTACTGATGTCAGACCATTGACTATTAGACATAACATAAACACTGTATACTTATTAAACTTGCTATAGATTCCTACACCTGTTTACAGTAGATATTGATATGTTTGTTAAATATAGCGATTGTTTGATTACAATATGATTATTATTATTTGTTTTGTTAAATACCCAGAGCACCCACCAAATAGGTAATACCCCAAATGGTATTKAGATAGGATATCTGTTCAAATGTGCACCGATATATTGATTGCAGGTCAAGCATAGTGGGTCCCAATAGGCCACCTTGTAGTATCTAATTTACAAAATGAAAAAAATATATATTAATATTAATTTTTTTAAAAATTCAAAATTTAATTTAATAGTTTACATAAAATAAGACACTAATATATATGGAAATTGTCAAAAATATTTTATATCTTATTGACCACTTATTAGTGTTGTAAATATTATTATTATTTTCAATATTATTATTTTTATTATTTTCATTATTATTATTATTATTCATGTTATTTAAAGTTAAATTCATTAATTATAAATTATTTTTAACTTTTTATTATTATTTAGGTTTATATATATTTTATCAATATTATTTACTAGTACAGTATTATTATTATACTGATTAAGTTAAACTTTTAATCATTGATTATTCAATATATATATATATATATATATATATACTGTATATATATATATTATACTATATTATATTATACTTATATATAATTATATATTTCATAATAAAAAAATTATTATCAAGTCATTGTAATTAATATTTTAGTTTTATCTAAATAAAACTAATTAAGTTGTTTTATATTAATTAGTGTTTGCAACAAAAAAAATAGAAAAATTTATAAATAAAATAGAGAACTTTCTAGAAAATTTCTAATAGATTTATTAATTTTGTTATCTTTTATAAAATGCATTGTTTTTACAATTATTAATTATTTATTAAAGTAAAAAATAATTTATTAATTTAAATTATATTAAACTATGATATAATTTATATATATATATATATATATATATAAATGATAAATAAAGTTTTTACAATCTTGACCAGCTTGACCCGAACAGATCAACTAACCGAATCTGACCAACTTACCGAAACCGTGCAACTTACCGAACCTGACCAACTACCCGAACCGTTATCCTAATTAAACAATTATTGCGGAGAGTGGGGGGGGGAAAGCAGAGATCATGAAATTTATATAAAATAAGTTATACAAAGCTATAGATATCATAGTATAACAATTAATTGTAAAAAATTTCTATAGAAAATTTACTTATGAGAAATTTTCTAAAATACAATTTCAGTTTTATTTATTTATTTTTAAAAAAAAAATCATTGATATTATTAATATACTGATCTATATATATATATATATATATATATAATAATAATAATAATAATAATAATTTTTAATGCAATAGTAATAAATGTTTCAATTAATAGCATTCAACCCATACATAAAATTTTTTTTAAATTATTTATTACACAAATATCTATTACACTAAAAAAAATAAAATAAAAATTCTATAAAATTAGTCAATAAATTCTCGATAATACATTAACTTATAAATATTATTATTATTATTATTATTGGTGATTATTAACCTTATATTTAGAAATATTATTATTGTTATAATAAATAATAATTTATGAAAATAAACATGATAAAAGTTAATAACATATATATATATATGTAAAAAAAATTTTATTAGATATTATTTATATCTAGTTTTATAATAGTTTTTTGAACTAATTATTAAAAATTATTGATATATTGAAAATAATTATTTTATTTTATTATAATCATTGATAAGTATTATATTAATCAAATAAAGTTTAGCAATATATTAGTTTGATTTTTTGATTTTAATTAATGTTTAATTTTAAAAGTTCATTCAAGAAAATAAATAATTAAAAAATATATATAAAACTAATTTACTAACTTATCTAAAATGTAGATAAAAATTTTTTTAGATAATTATTATATATATATATACAATACTAAAACTGTTATATTTAACAAAGTTAGATTAAAATTATATTTTAGTTATTATTATTATCTTAAATAAATATATATATTATATAATGTTACATAATTTTTATTTTATGAAAAAAATCTATTATTTTTGTTTTATTAAAAAAACAGTAAGTTATACAATAAAGTTTTGTTTGTTTAATTTAATTTGACTTATTTTTTTTGAATTGATTTTGAATACTATAGTATTATATATTTTCAATTCAATTTATAGTGGGTGCAAAAAATAAGATATAAACATTTTAAAATTAGTTTTGGTATTATTATTATTATTAAAATATAATTTTATATTAATAATAAGTATAAAATTATGATAATGTTATCAATAAAAATATTTTTAATATTTTTAATTGTAATAAATGTTTTTTAATTAATACAATATGATTTTTAAAAAAATATTATTATATATGCATTAAAAAATTTAATTAATGTATTTAAGGAAGTCTTAATAATAATAATCGATTAAATGTTATTAAATATTATTATTAAATATAATATTATTTGTATAACAATATTGAAATATTTAATTTTCACATACATATTGATATCATTAATTAGGTTTATTATATATCTATAAAATGCATTGTAATTCAATGATAGCTAATATTATATTTTGAGAACCGGTTGACCTCAAACTTCACACCAAAAAAAAATATATATATATATAGTATATATAATTTATATATATATATATATATATGGCAACGAAAAATTTTTGATTAATCACCAAAAAATTATAAATATATATATATATATATATACAGTATATATATATATAACATAAAGAAATAATAATAATAATAATAAAAAACAAATAAAACAAATATATAGTTATTTTTTCCAATTTATTTAATGTAAAAGTAAAGTTTGTCTAATCAAACAAACAGTTGTCTTATATATATATATTTTTTGTAACCACAAATATAATGTAATTTTTTTAAAAAGTTTTAAACATTAACAACAACAACAAAATAAAGATAATGTCTGGCGTCTAAATAAGCTATCAATTTTAGTTATATATATATATATATATATATAATGTTTCAAAAGTTATTATTATTATATAACTTATTATATATATATATATATATATATTAGCTAAATAATAAATTGAATTATTTTTTGAAAATACAATCTTTATATATATATATATATATATATATATATACTGTATACTGTTTTGTGAAAACTTTTTTTTTAATTAAAAACTTTTTTTATTATTAATTTTTAAAACTATGTGTAATTTATTTGATAATTAACTTATATATATCATAATAATGATGCCAACGGCAGCAGCGGTAAGTAATATAATGTGATTTACAAACAAACAAAAAAATCAAAAACTAATAAAATTTTATAATAATTTGTTTGTTTTATTATTATTATTAAAATTATATAAGACATCGTTTATGAGCCTATTTACAGCAGCGGCCGTTTTGATGGCTTTCCGATTGCCAGCCCTTTTGATGTTCAGAGGATCGGTATATCATTAATAATAAATTTTAAATATATATATCATATAATACAAACATGCATTGTCTATATATATATGATTTAAATCAATATATTGATTATAATTACACATTTTATTTTTCCAATTAAACAATATCACACATAAATCACCATTCAGCCTATACCAATACCCAGGCCAGTTATGGTGATACGGGTGCCGGCAGCAGCAGCAGCATCAGCATCCAATAATATTCAGCCAACATTACAAGTATTAGCACCGGCATCAATAGTACCACAACTACTACAACAACAACAGCAGCAGCAGACTATAGTTCCTCGATTAGCACCTGTGCCGACACGATTACAAGCACTACCACCATCAGCACCACTGCGATCATTATCACTGCTCAATCCATTGTCACATTTGCTGAGACGATTACCGCCAGCAGCAGCAGCACCGGCACCGGTAGCTCCACAACCGTTTCAACCATTTCTACAACCACTACACCACCAACCGTTTAGCCGACTACTGGCGCCAATCAACGTGCCGAACGTACGGTCATTAGTAGGGCATACTCTAAAAGCTAGTGAATCAGCACCGGTAGCTGCGGCGGCGCAGCCGGTAATAGTGGTCAGACCTACGATCAAATCGCTTGGCCTTAACTATCAGTCCATTGATACCGCAAACGCAGACGAGAGTCGTCGTCATTTTGTTTACGAAATAATGGCTACAACAACAACCGTTAGGCCACGATTGTTGGCCGCGGCGGCGGTGGCGGCACCGGTTTCAACCCATAAACACATTGGACAGCCATTTAATCCTAACTTATCCGACAAATACAGGACTTTGTCGACCACTAAATACTATACTGAATACTATGTTTTACCAACAATAGCACCACCGGCGGCGGCGGCAGCGGTACAGCCGTTTAGGACTAAATCGTTAATCAAATTTAGGACAGATATCAATCATGGAGATGTGGTGGACAGGTATGCCATAAATATGTTGCCGCCTGTGATGCCCCGTCAATACGATAGCGACGATATGATAGTTGACATGAAAACTAGTAGTACAACAACATCAACAACAAGTAGGTCATCGACATCATCGACAACTACTACTACAAGCACAACAACAACTACTACTACAATGAGGCCAATAATTACAAGTGCATTATTGGCTACCGTTCCCAGCATGAAATGGCAACAAAATTATAATACTATGTATTTCAATGATAAAACACGTGAAATGTTTGGCCGTCAGCGCAAAAAGTTTGGCGACAGACTCGGTAACAATAGTAGTAGTAGTAGTAGTAGTAGTGTTAGTACCAGTCCTACACACTACTACTACTACCTGCGCTGAAATCAATGGCAACTACAACAAGATCGACAACACCTACAACAACAAGAAAAACTAAGAGAAAAACGGTATCAACTGTTCGCTCGGCACCTGTACCTAATCAGGAGGCGGCGGCACCGGTAGATAACATATATAATACTGTTATATCAAAACAATTGGATGATAATAAATCAAAGTTAATGTTTGATATTGCAAATAATGTTTATTATTATGACTAATATACTGTATATTTAAAAAAAAWTTGTTAATATTTAGTATTTTACATATATTTAATATTATATAGTATTATAAATCATTATCAATAATATCGTATATTTTCAATACATTTTGAATACATTAAAAAATTAATACATTTACAAACATATTTCATACATTTTATTTCAACACAAAAAACAACAAATTTGTAATTATTATTGAATCAATAAAATTATTTTTAAAAAAAAATATCAAACTTTTAGCAAAATTAATTAATAAAAAAAATAATTAATTATATTAGTACTGTATATACAGTATAATATTTATTTCTAAATTTTTTTATTATTATTATTACTTACAATGATTTTTATTAGTAATATAAATTTATATATATATATATATTACATGACTCACATAAAAATTAATCAAATGAAAAAATCATTGAAATTTATTTTTTTATTTTATTTTTTTAGACAACAATCATACAGTACATGGAAAGTAGTTAAAATTTATTGTTATTAGTAGTTTCATCATTAAATTTATTATTATTGTTGTTAATTTTATTTTTTAATAGTTGAGATTTTTACAACAACAACAACAAAAATAAATGATAATTAATTAAATTGTGTCAACAATTTCCGTTTCTGGGCGTTGGACACACAAAAAAAAGTTTTGATTAATTATTTTTTACAAATATATATATAATTGTTTTTATTGCTCACATATTTTTTKTAATTTTAGAGATCTAATAYCACATACAAACATATATAATATTACTAYTATTACTACTATTATATATATACAGAATATTCTGTAAAATTAGTTTTCTATATATATATATATATTCTCTAAAATAAATACTATTGTGAATATTATTTTAAACTATTTTTTAATTATAATAATAATTTTTTTGTTAAATTAAAAAATTTATTGAATCAATGTTTACAAAGAAACCAGAAATTCACTCAAGAAATCAAAAAACGGTGACCACTGTTGGCGGTGTCGGAGGCGGCGGCGGCGGAGGCACTGCCAGTGGTACTGGAGGTGGTGTTAGCGGCAAAATCGGCAGAAAAGTGGCCCAAAATTCGCCTAATTTTAACAAAACTTTTGTCAACAAAACTAATCCAAACAATAGCCTTAAGGCTAATAATAATAATAATAATCATCAAAAACAAGCCATCGATACGGAATCCAAAGCAAGTCTACAGCAAAAGCTAAAAGATTTGGAGGAAAGACTGGAAAAGTTTGTCTCAATATTATTGATTATAATGTTTTATAATTTAATTATCTATTAATTTGTATGCAAAACATTGATGACATTTATATATATATATATATATATATAGATACGATAGGGATCGACAGCTAATCACTGCTGAATTGGACAGAGTATGCGAACTGAAAGACAATGAGATCAGGGATTTGAGGCAAACAGTTGACGATAAGCAACGGGAAATTGATGACCAATTTTGTGCGTTAAGGAAATCGGGTCAACAGTTTGAGTCGGAGCTGGAGAGACACCGGTGCCAATTGGTTAACATTGCCGGCGACTATCGTACTAAAGAGTCACTGATTTTGCAACGAAATCACGAGTTAGGTCTGTGCTCTCTGTCTCTCTCTCTCTCTCTCTCTCTCTCTCTCTCTCTCTCTCTCTCTCTCTCTTATTGTGTTTACTCTGTTTTATAGACAAATTAGATTAAATCTGAGACACAACTTGAAGTTAATTTAATTACAGATAATATTATATATATTTAGTTGACTTTTGTTATTGTTTAGGGAATAGATATAAGCATTTTATTGATTCTCTCTCTCTCTCTCTCTCTCTCTCTCTCTCTCTCAATATAATAATATAATACTAGACTATTAATTAGTATTATTTTAAAAAATAACATTGATTAGTACAGTAATATACAATTTTTAAAAAAATATTTATTATCAATAATTTAAAACAAAATCAACTAAACTGATAAATTGTATATAATAATAATAATAATGTCAATAATAAATAATAAATATAAAATTTAATCATATGCTACAAACACACACATATTATATATAACATTATATAATAAAAAAAATTACTAAAATTTAATTAGATTTTTATTTTGGTGCTAAACTGTTATGTTTGCCTTATATTGATTATTATACATATTATTTAAATAATAAGCAGTTTATATATTTATATACAGTATATATATATTATATATAATACTATAGTACTGTATATATATATATTATAATAACTTATATTATATGCATTTCTAAACATATATACGCGTGGTGTAGTATTATATAATTTATATATATATATATTGTATATCCAATATTTAGAGAAACAGCTCATGGATCTGAACGATTACATTAAGCACAGGGAGTACACTATGGATAGGATCAGCCAACTGGAAGAGATTAATAAACAGCAAACCCTATGCCATAAAAAATTAGAGCAAAACCTATTAAATGAAGTGCAACGGGAAAAACAAAAGTATATATAAATATATATATAATATTATTTTATATTAAGTATAGAGTCTAATATATATATATATATATATATATATATATATATATATATATATTATACATATATTATACAAATCAATATTTATATATATATATTAACAAACAGAAAATAATTAGTAAAATATTTGATACTTTTTTTCATTGCAATTAATTTCTATTAATTTTATTCTTAACTTTTTTGTTTTTTTTGATCAAAAAAACAAACAAAAAATTTCCATTTAATCAATTAATTAATTTAATATATATATATATAGAGTAATATATAGAGATATATATATATATATATATATATATATATATATATATTTATATATAAAAAATTGGATATAATATTTAACAGTTTTATATAATAATAATAAGTAGTATACATTATATTGATATTATACTGTATTAATATATAWATATATTCAATATATAAAGGGTTGAACAGCTAGTGTCGACACGTGTGGATGACATACGCCAGCACATGGAGCAGTCGTGTTTGGCTAAGTTGTCGGTCGACGCCAAGATAGCTATACTAAAATATGATGAACTGTTGAAAAACTATGGAATAGTGGAACAGGAGTCAAGACAACTACGCAAACTGACGGAAACGTTAGGCAATCGGCTCCGGGATCTGCAGATCAGATCCGATTTGAGCGAATCGTTGTTAAGCGAATGGCTTAAGGAAATGAATCGTCGGTTTTCGCAGCGTAAGGATGTGGCCATTCAATGGATAGACAATACATAGAAATACATTTACATACCGTTCCCTTTTAGGAACGTTTGATTTTATTAATAGATTTTTAAATAGTTATATACATGTTTTTTTTGTTGGTTATACATATAGTACATATTGTATGAATATTTATGTCATTATTTTTAAAAAAAATAAAATAATAAATTGGATATAAAATAGAGCCTTAATTGATATAATTGAAAGTAGATTTATGGGGGAAAAAACTATTTAAAAAAATGTTTAACAATTCAAAGAAAAACTGATTTGAAAATGACTGGAGATTGATAGGTATGTTTGTTAGGTAGGTATGAGCCGTACATATACATGTCGATTACATACTACTACTCTAAATTTTTAAGCCTTAATTGTCAGAGCATTGGCCAGTCGTAACAGTGTGTCGGTAGATGTCTTACAGTTTGGGTACAGTGTGTCGGAGCACTCGTTACACTCGGATTTGTCTAATGTCTGTCCATTATCGCGAGCCGTCTTATAGTAGGCCAGTTGGGGCAATGTGTCCGACTCGAACTGTTGCAATGTATGATAGACGGCCTGTCCTTTATCGCCCAGTGCTATATAAATATATAGATATACATATATATATATATATATATATATATATATAGAGAGAGAGACATTGGTTTAAGCCGATGAGGAACCGGTAGTCTCCCAAAATCGGTCGGTACTTACCATTGGCATCGCAGCTCAGTTGGCATATAGTACGGGCCACACATTCCTTGAGTCGCCGTTTTTCAATTATTCTGATGGCCTGTTTCAGTGTGACCTCTGTCCGGCCGATCGTTGCCGACACCGACTTTGTGGTGGAGGAGGAGGAGGAAGTGATTGTTGTCGAGGAAGGGCCAGTCGGTGACGACTCGGTGACGGCCATCAGTGACAGTGCCATCAYTGCTGCCAACAGTATCACAAATTTAACCATTTTTGTTGCCAAGAAAGACATTGTTGTTGTTGTTTTAGCGATTAAAACACACAAATAATATATAAAAAAAATAATTAAAATAATAATTAAAATATAAATAATAAAATATATGTTTTTTTTTGTCTAATCGCTTAACTACTGGTCAAAACACACACTGATGTCGATCTTTGAAATTGTTGTCCTATTTATACCCAAAAAAAGTTTGTTTAAACTATTTTCAAATGATTTTTTGTTAAAGTTTAGGAAATTTTTTATTTAAAAAATTAATATATATTTTTATAAATATGATACTAATATATATATATATATATATATATTGACTACTATATGTTAATACTGTATCATAATAGTATAAACTTATGTATTATATTAGTATTATTATTATTATTTTCATATATTATTTATGTGTACTTTAGTATCGTATCGTTTACTATACTAATAATAATAAAGTTAGAAAATATAAATTAAATACAGTATTAATATAAAATTATAGTAAAGTTGAAAAATATATATATATTAATATTTATTTATTTTTAATAGTTTAATAAACAAATTGACACTGAATAAATAATCTATTAAATATTAACTAGTATAATTTTTAAACTTTAATATAAATAAATATACATTATATTAATACACTGTATTAATATATGAGTATAAAATTTAAAAAGCAGTTAAAACATTGGTTGGGAGTCAATAATAAATTTATTTAAAATAATTGAATCAATCAGTTATTTTACTCATTAATAAATTAACAAAATTTTATTATACATTATTATTATTATTATTATTTTGAATAAATCTACTAAACATTTATTAATGATCTATAAAAAAAACTATACTATGATTAATACAGTATAAATTATTTACTAATTTTATTGTAATATATATATATATAAATGGTTTGTAATAAATGTGACAAATGTTTAAAAAAAATTCAATATTATTATTATTATTTTAAAAAAAGTAGTTACACTTTTTGACAATTAAATTAATAAATTTTTATTTTTAAACAAAAACGACATTATTATAAATAAATAATTTTTTATTATTATAGGTATTAATAATAATGATAATAATAATCGGATTTACAAACAATTACATTTGAAAATATGGTTTCATATTAAAAAAAAAAAATATAATAATTAAAAACTATTGATAAAATGTATTTTTTATATTTACAGGTATTAATCAATACTAACAATAAACGACATTTAAATTTTATAGATAAATAAAAATTTATAGTTATATATATATATTATATAACATAATTTTTTAATTTATCTTGATTATTATTATTATTATTAACATATTTAATAAATTATATATTAATTACATTAAATATTAACTATATTATCATCATTTGTATGTTGTTTATTATGTCTATTATTATTATTAGTATTATTATTAATAATATGCCGTCGATTAGCACCAATTGTTTGTCCATTTAGGTTATGATGATTATTATTATTATGATGCGCTAATAAATGGACAGTTGGTTTACCATTAGAGGTGACAACAGTTTGCTGTTCAACCAACTGGTGATGTCCTCCACCGCCAACACCACCACCACTACTGTCCTGTCTATCATTATTTACATAATAGCTGTTCATTTCGGATGCATTAGTCTTATTGATGATAAAATCGTCCGTAAATTTTATACGACAACAATAGTTTAGCAATGATTTACCCAAATTTTGATTGAATAGCAAATAGATAAATGGATTAACAAAACTGTTTAACGATGACAATAGCATCAGTATTGTTAGTATTGGACCTAAAAAAATAAATATTAAAAAAATTAAATTAAAATTATGTATTAAAAAAATAATTTAAATTAAATATTTTTWTATTTATTTTTTTTAGGAGGATAGGGTATCAAAATATATTAGTAATTATGTTTCAATAATAGTAATTATTAATTAAATTTAATTAGTTAATTTTGTAGCTTTTAAAATATCAAAATTGATATCTTATTGGTAATAAAATTTAAAAAAATTTTTATTTTTAAAATATTTTTTATATTTAAAAAAATATCTATTTGTCAAATATTATTATTATTAATACTGGTATATAAAATTTATATTATATTTTATTTTTGTTTAGATTTTATATTATATTAATAGTAGTATATAACTATATATATATATATCAATATTTGGTAATATTATTTAAAATAACTTTTTTTTCTCAATATTTTTAATTATATATACTGTATATATATTGTATTTTTCTTCAACAAAATGGTTTGTATGTCACATCTGGTGTCACAAAATTGGTAGACAAAGACATAGTTAAGTGAGTGAGTGATTGTGTGAAAGAGAGAGAGAGAGAGAGAGAGAGAGAGAGAGAGAGAGAGAGAGAGAGAGAGAGAGAGAGAGAGAGAGAGAGAGAGAGAGAGATCTATACATTAAATACCCCGACTTATCATAAGTTTATGGCAAATCATCACTTTATATTATAATATATATATATATATATATAATTTATTTAGAAATATTTTATATAATATAAACATTATAACATAATTTCCATATTAGGTTATATAAATTAAAATATACGGTATATAAAGTTTTTATATCTATATAGTTATTATTAAGTAATACTGTACTGTAGTATAGCTAAAGTATTAATAGTAATATTAGTACTATATATATATACCGATTATATTATAGTTTAATATATATATATATATAATAAAATAAAAATGCAATATTAAAATCAGTTTACTATTATTTTTTGAGCAAATTTATATATATATTAATAATAAATCATTTTATATGATTGAATAAATAAATAAAAAAATTTCTCATTTGGAAAAATATAGTTATTTTTTTCATTTAAAATATATACTAATTTTTAACAAACAATTTTCCATGACTTATTTAAGTGTATATTTATATATTTATAGTATATACTGTATTAAAAATATAACATATATATATATATATATATATATATATATATATATATATATATATATATATATATATATATATATATATATATATATAATTTTATATATAATGGTTTAATTAAATATACAAAACATTATTGGAAAGTTTTAATTAAATTCAAATTTAATTTTTGTCAACACATTCAATATTAGTGAAAAAAAAATTAATAACAAACAAACAAAAAACAGTCATTTAATTAACTATTTTTAAGGAAATATTTAAATTCAAAATTATAATATTAAGTTTATTAAAATATATAAAGTATATACAATATACAGTATTAATATAATTATACTGTACTTTTGTTATATATATAATTTTTTAAATTAAATAATATATATATATACTGTAGAAATCAAAATTTGTTTTTTTTAAATTTAAATTAATTTTTTTCTATATCAATATTTATTCAAGTTTAATTTATAAACTAGATTTTAAATTAAAATCTAAAATTTTATTATTTAATATTTAATATAATTAATTTTCAAAAAAAAAATAATCTGTCAACAATTTTTTATATATATTTATATCTTTTTTTTAATTACAATTTATCCTAAATGTTACAAATGATATAAATGTGAAAATTTTATTTATTTATTTAAAAAAAAAATAGTTTTATTACTGATATTGTTTGTTTGTTTTATAAAAAAAAACTATTGACTTTGAAATTAATAATTTAAAAAATGATTGAAAAAAATCACTTTTATTAATATATATATATATTAAATTCTGTATAAAATTTAACAATTTCCTTGTTTACCAAAAAAAAAAACATYATTATTATTATTATTATTATTATACTAATAATAATATGTTATATATTTTTTGTTTGATAAAAAAAACTAAGATAATCATTGTCTATATCCTAGTCTAGACTAATTTTTTTTTACTTAAATTACTTAAATTTAAAATCAAATACTTTTAATAGTAGTAAACACTTTATAAAATAATAATAATAATAATAATAATAATATTGTTTATAAATTATAATATATTTACTATATGATATATTATACTGTATTATTATAATAATAATAGAAAATTATTAAAAATTATTACTAAACAATGTGAATAGTAAACTAATTATATTATATTGTTATTGTATTTAATAATTTATAATATAATTTATAATATTTATTATTTTAATTATTAGAAAAATTCAAAATACCAATTAAAGCAATTTGTAAATAGTTTAATCATAATAATAATTATTATAACATAAAATATAATATAATTAATATATAATACAAAATAATACAAATAATATATAATTTTACTAAAAAAAATTAATAGTAATATATATTTTAAAAAAATAATTTATTTATAACTATACAGACAGTTAAATGAGTTTATAAAATATAWWTTTTGCTTAATAATCACTGTATATTATAATATATTACCATGATAGTTTAAGTGACTCATCTATTTTTATATACAATATATTTATGGTTATTATTATTATTAAAAACAATTATATTCATATTTATTATAAATAWATATATATATATATATAGAGTAAATATTTTTGTCACTGAATTTAATAGGATTATCAATAAATTTATTGTTGCGAAACATTTCAACTAAATAAAATCAAATATCAATTAATTATCAACAAAAATAAGACAAAAAATAAAATAAAATGCTTTAACCAATCAATAGGTAGAGACTAACAATTATTTTAGATTTTTTATACTATTATTATTATTAYTATTATTTCACTTAATAAATATTAGCATTATTAGAGTAGTAGTASTAMTACTGCTACTTGTTTAAGTAGTTATATCATAGTAGTAGTAGTGGTAGTAGTGATGATAACAATAATTTATTTTATTTTATTTTTTTGTTAAGTAAAAAAACAACAATAGATTGTCTTAAATGCGACACAAATGACATATCATTTATAAGTAAACAACTTTTTTGTTGTTACAATACATACTAACAGATAGATAGATAGATAGATAGACAGATAAACAAATAAAAAAATAGATATAAAAAACAAAATTCAATACAATTATCACATGAGAGGACACACTACTTGAGTCTAGTAATGTAAAAGACATTAGATTTTTTTTGTTATATATATATATATATATAMTGTGTGTGTGTGTGTGTGTGTRTGTGTGTGTATGTATGTGTGTGTATGTATGTGTGTGTATGTRTGTGTGTGTGTATGTGTGTGTATGTATGTGTGTATGTGTGTGTGTGTATGTGTGTATGTGTGTGTGTGTATGTGTGTATGTGTGTGTATGTGTGTATGTGTGTGTGTGTATGTGTGTGTGTGTATGTGTGTATGTGTGTGTGTGTATGTGTGTATGTGTGTGTATGTGTGTATGTGTGTGTGTGTATGTGTGTATGTGTGTATGTGTGTATGTGTGTGTGTGTGTATGTGTGTATGTGTGTGTATGTGTGTATGTGTGTGTGTATGTGTGTATGTGTGTATGTGTGTGTGTGTATGTGTGTATGTGTGTATGTGTGTGTGTGTATGTGTGTATGTGTGTATGTGTGTGTGTGTATGTGTGTGTGTGTGTATGTGTGTGTGTGTATGTGTGTATGTGTGTATGTGTGTATGTGTGTGTATATGTATGTGTTTGTGTGTATGTGTATCTGTGTGTATGTATGTGTGTGTATGTGTTTGTTTGTGTATGTATGTGTATGTGTGTGTGTCGAGACATGTTAGGTGAAAAGGACAGTTAGATTGATAAATAGATAGATAAGCACTTTGCTAGAAAGTAAATGTTATTATTATTATTATTAGTTTATTTTATTTTGTTATTATTTTGTTAAATATCTTATACCTATAATTGTTGTATTAATTATAATAAAACAAACACTTTAATGTTTATCATAGTGTAAACAAATTATATAAATAAAACATAAAAAAAATTATTTATAAAACAAATTGATTGTAATCAAAATCATTTTATATCTTTATTTATATATAATAATAATAATAAAAATATAACTTAAGTAATTTTTATAACACTTATGTATACTTATGTACTGTATATACAGTAGAATTTAATTACAATTAATTGTTAGTAACACTTGTTAGTAAAAAAACAATTTAATAATTAAATATTTAAACAAATTTCTTAATAAATGTATATAAAATTTATAACATAAGACTAAATATAATATAATAGYAAACATAACTGTTTTTAAACTATTACTATAAAAAATATGTATTTAAAGATACGTTAAGAGAGMCCATTCAGTGTTTAAATATATATATATATATAATTTTATTACACACACATACACACACATAATACACACACAAATATTTTACACACACATACACACACATACAYACACATATACACACACATACATACACACATACATACACACACATAGACATATATATATACACACACATAGACATATATATATATATATATATATATATATCACATACATATATACATACATAGATACAYATRCATACATTATCAGCTCATGTATTAGCTGCTCAGGTATTTCTTTATATATATATATATAGACTTTTATCACATTTTTATAGCACACATACACAAACATCCGATCCAATTGTATATACAATATATGCCAGACACTGATCGATCGATCAAATGTTAGTTTTTTATTTATTATATATTTAATATATTATAAATCACACACAATATGTATATATAGGGAGAAAAAATAATAACAACAACAAAAAAAAGTGTAAATATTAGGGAATATTAGATAAAATATACAAATTTAGAGTGTCATCSATAAAAGCATGTAGTCTATGGGGTGGTAGTGGGGGAGTAAGGGATCTAATATAATTAAATATATGTTATTTGCTGTTATATTG